GCTTAAGATACCCAGTGTGGCATATGTTGAAAGTTTTCATTTCGCCGGTATATTGTACCATACATGTACACCTCCAGCCTTGCAAGGCAACATTGTAGACTTACATTGTGAATCCCAAATCCATTAGCAAAGTTGTATTTCCAGGTGCCTTGAGCCGTGAGTCCAGCAGTATAGGGCGAGGCACCGTGATAGCTGTTTCTTAGCGATATTATGTCAAAATTCCCCGTGTATAGCCTGGCCATCATCATGGCCAGGTCATTGGCTTCAGATCCACTATTGACAAAATAAACAACCTGTAAGAGAAAAGGATTATTATAATAAAAAAGAAAAGCTAAACCCACTAGAATCATACAGAGATGAAAAGAAAAAGAATAATGTTAAGAATCCCGTCCCCTCCCCACCCACCCAACACCATGAAAAAGTTTATATATATATATATATATATATATAATATATATATATATATATATATATATATATATATATATATATATATATATATATATATATATATATATATATATATATATGTCGTGCCGAATAGGCAGAACTTGCGATCTTGGCTTAATAGCAACGCTCATCTTGCCATTAGGACAAGTGAAAATTGTGTATGCAATAATTCGGCCAAAATCATTCTGAACCTAACGAAAAAAATATATTTCACTGTGTTTGTTTAGTATTAAATTATTGTAAACAAATCTAAAATATATTTAGTTAGGTTAGGCTAAAATAAATTGTTGTTGTTATAATAAGGTTAGGTAAGTTTTCTAAGATTCTTCTGGTGCAAAATTAAATTTTTTTACATTAACATAATAAAAAAATATATCTTTAAACGTATAGGAGAAAATTTTAGAAAGGACTTAATTTTAAATGAGTTCTTGCTAATTGACCAGTTTTACATATTCGGCACGACACACACACACATATATATATATATATATATATATATATATATATATATATATATATAATATTATATATATATATATATATATATATATATATATATATATATATATATATATATATATATATATATACATATATATATAAAGAGAGAAGAGAGGAGAGAGAGGAGAGAGAGAGAGAGAGAGAGAGAGAGAGAGAGAGAGAGAGGAATTGTTAAATGTTGATTAAGATAGGGAAGCTGTGATTTCGTGTATAGGGCGAGGAGGAGTAACATCTTGTAGGAGTGAGGAAGAGCAAGTTGTGAGTGTGGGGGAAGTTCGTGAGGCAGTGGGTAGAATGAAAGGGGGTAAGGCAGCGGGGACTGAGGGGATAAAGATAGAAATGTTAAAAGCAGGAAGGGATATAGTTTTGGAGTGGTTGGTGCTATTATTTAATAAATGTATGGAAGAGGGTAAGGTACCTAGGGATTGGCAGAGAGCATGCATAGTTCCTTTGTATAAAGGCAAAGGGGACAAAAGAGAGTGCAAAAATTATAGGGGGATAAGTCTGTTGAGTATACCTGGTAAAGTGTATGTTAGTTTAATATGTCTATTATGCAGCCCATACCCATCCTGTGGGCGATAGTCAAAAGATTACAGAGGTACATAATGGGTCCAGGGACTGGACTCCAAAGTTTTGATAGCTGAGCAAGTTACAGAGGTAATGAACTCACAATTTACAAAGGTAATGAACTCACAATTTACAAAGGTAATGAACTCCAGGTAGGTCTGGTCACAATCATGACAAGTTACAAAGGTATTTACAGATTACAGAGGTACGTAATGGGTCCAGGGACTGGGCCTCCAAAGTTTTGATAGCTGAACTAGGTACAAAGGTAATGAGCTCGCAAGTTACAAAGGTAATGAATTCTGTAGAATGGTTACTTACGTTTATACATGGCTACAATCATGAATAAATTATAGAGTAATGAGCAATTCACACTTCCACACCCGGTCACAACTGTAGTGAGTTGTTGGTGCAAATATTGATTGTTGAGTCACACACACTCACACTCACACACACACACACACACACACACACACACACACACACACACACACACACACACACACACACACACACACACACACACACACGGGGCCAGGAGCTTGGACTCGACCCCTGCAACCTCAACTAGGTGAGTACTCACACACACACACACACACACACACACACACACACACCAGGAGCTAAGACTCGACCCCTGCAACCACAAATAGGTGAGTACACACACGCGCACACAACACACACACACACACACACACACACACACACACACACACACACACACAACACACAGGTGTCGGTCCTAGGACCAGTGCTATTTTTGGTATATGTGAACGACATGACGGAAGGGTTAGACTCAGAAGTGTCCCTGTTTGCAGATGATGTGAAGTTAATGAGGAGAATTAAATCTGTGAGGACCAGCAGGACTTCAAAGAGACCTGGACAGACTGGACACCTGGTCCAGCAAATGGCTTCTCGAATTTAATCCTGCCAAATGCAAAGTCATGAAGATAGGGAAGGGCACAGAAGACCACAGACAGAGTATAGGCTAGGTGGCCAAGACTGCAAACCTCACTCAAGGAGAAAGATCTTGGGTGAGTATAACACCGAGCATGTCTCCGGAAGCACACATCAATCAGATAACTGCTGCAGCATATGGGCGCCTGGCAAACCTGAGAACAGCATCCGATACCTTAGTAAGGAAGCATTCAAGACACTGTACACCGTGTATGTCAGGCCCATACTGGAGTATGCAGCACCTGTTTGGAACCCGCACTTGATAAAGCACGTCAAGAAACTAGAGAAAGTACAAAGGTTTGCGACAAGGTTAGTTCCAGAGCTAAGGGGAATGTCCTATGAAGAAAGATTAAGGGAAATCGGCCTGACGACACTGGAGGACAGGAGGGTCAGGGAGACATGATAACGACATATAAAATACTGCGTGGAATAGACAAGGTGGACAAGGACAGGATGTTCCAGGAGGGGACACAGAAACAAGAGGCCACAATTGGAAGTGAAGACACAAATGAGTCAGAGAGATAGTAGGAAGTATTTCTTCAGTCATAGAGTTGTAAGGCAGTGGAATAGCCTAGAAAATGACGTAGTGGAGGCAGGAACCATACACAGTTTTAAGACGAGGTTTGATAAAGCTCATGGAGCGGGGAGAGAGAGGGCCTAGTAGCAACCGGTGAAGAGGCGGGGCCAGGAGCTAGGACTCGACCCCTGCAACCACAAATAGGTGAGTACAAATAGGTGAGTACACACACACACACGCACGCACACACACACGCACACACACGCATATACTACAGGCCTAGTGCCTAATCGACATGTGCCTAGGACAAAATGGTAACTAACACACACACATACACACACACACACACACACGCACTACAATGGATCAGGGAATACTTGTCAGGAAGACAGCAGCGAGTCATGGTACGTGGCGAGGTGTCAGAGTGGGCACCTGTGACCAGCGGGGTCCCGCAGGGGTCAGTCATAGGACCAGTGCTGTTTCTGGTATTTGTGAACGACATGACGGAAGGAATAGACTCTGAGGTGTCCCTGTTTGCAGATGACGTGAAGTTGATGAGAAGAATACACTCGATCGAAGACCAGGCAGAACTACAAAGGGATCTGGACAGGCTGCAGACCTGGTCCAGCAATTGGCTCCTGGAGTTCAATCCCACCAAGTGCAAAGTCATGAAGATTGGGGAAGGGCAAAGAAGGCCGCAGACGGAGTACAGTCTAGGGGTCAGAGACTACAAACCTCACTCAGGAAAAAAGATCTTGGGGTGAGTATAAACACCAGGCACATCTCCTGAAGCGCACATCAACCAAATAACTGCTGCAGCATATGGGCGCCTAGCAAACCTCAGAACAGCATTCCGACATCTTAATAAGGAATCGTTCAGGACCCTGTACAACCGTTATACGTTAGGCCCATATTGGAGTATGCGGCACCAGTTTGGAACCCACACCTAGCCAAGCACGTAAAGAAACTAGAGAAAGTGCAAAGGTTTGCAACAAGACTAGTCCCAGAGCTAAGAGGTAATGTCCTACGAGGAGAGGTTAAGGAAATCAACCTGACGACACTGGAGGACAGGAGAGATAGGGGGGACATGATAACGACATACAAAATACTGAGAGGAATTTGACAAGGTGGACAAAGACAGGATGTTCCAGAGATTGGACACAGTAACAAGGGGACACAGTTGGAAGCTGAAGACACAGATGAATCACAGGGATGTTAGGAAGTATTTCTTCAGCCACAGAGTAGTCAGTAAGTGGAATAGTTTGGGAAGCGATGTAGTGGAGGCAGGATCCATACATAGCTTTAAGCAGAGGTATGATAAAGCTCACGGCTCAGGGAGAGTGACCTAGTAGCGATCAGTGAAGAGGCGGGGCCAGGAGCTCGGACTCGACCCCCGCAACCTCAACTAGGTGAGTACACACACAGACACACACACAGACACACACACACAGACACACACACACACACACACACACCACACACACACACACACACACACACACACACACACACACACAGTTTAGTTTAATATTTTTATTATGCGCCCCATACCCATCCTGTGGGCGGTAGTCAAAAGATTACAAAGGTACATAATGGGTCCAGGGACTAAAGTGTATGGTAGAGTTATTATTGAAAGAATTAAGAGTAAGACGGAGAGTAGAATAGCAGATGAACAAGGAGGCTTTAGGAAAGGTAGGGGGTGTGTGGACCAGGTGTTTAGTGAAACATATTGGTGAACAGGATGGATAATGAGAACCTTCAAAACTAGGGAGGCCAAGCCCATGATGACACTCTTCAGGTCACTTGTTCTATCTAGGCTGGAATATTGCTGCACACTAACAGCACCTTTCAAGGCAGGTGAAATTGCCGACCTAGAAAATGTACAGAGAACTTTCACGGCGCGCATAACGGAGATAAAACACCTCAATTATTGGGAGCGCTTGAGGTTCCTAAACCTGTATTCCCCGGAACGCAGGGGAGAGATACATGATTATATACACCTAGAAAAATCCTAGAGGGACTAAAGCTTCCGCTTCACACACGGAGGCCCGGTTCAATTCCCGGCGGGTGGAAACATTTCGACACGTTTCCTTACACCTGTTGTCCTGTTCACCTAGCAGCAAATAGGTACCTGGGTGTTAGTCGACTGGTGTGGGTCGCATCCTGGGGGACAAGATTAAGGACCCCAATGGAAATAAGTTAGACAGTCCTCGATGACGCACTGACTTTCTTGGGTTATCCTGGGTGGCTAACCCCCCGGGGTTAAAAATCCGAACGAAATCTTATTGGAGGGAGAGAGTATGGAGGAGGTGAATGTATTCAGATATTTAGGAGTGGACGTGTCAGCAGATGGGTCAATGAAAAATGAGGTGAATCACGGAACTGATGAGGGAAAAAGAGTGAGTGGTGCACTTAGGAGTCTGTGGAGACACTCTTTGAACTTTGTCCGTGGAAGCAAAGAGGGGAATGTATGAGAGTATAGTTGTACCAAAACTCTTGTATGGGTGTGAATCATGGGTGATGAATATTGCAACGAGGAAAAGGCTGGAGACAGTGGAGATGTCATGTCTGAGGGCAATGTGTGGTGTGAATATAATGCAAAGAATTCGTAGTTTGGAAATTAGGAGAAGGTGTGGGATTACCAAAACTATTATCCAGAGGGCTGAGGAGGGTTATTGAGGTGGTTCGGACATGTAGAGAGAATGGAACAAAACAGAATGACTTCGAGAGTGTATAAATCTGTAGTGGAGGGAAGGCGGGGTACTGATCGGCCTAGGAAGGGTTGGAGGGAGGGGATAAAGGAGGTTTTGTGTGCGAGGGGCTTGGACTTCCAGCAAGGATGCGTGAGCTTATTTGATAGGAGTGAATGGAGACAAATGGTTTTTAATACTTGACGTGCTGTTGGAGTGTGAGCAAAGTAACATTTATGAAGGGATTCAGGGAAACCGGCAGTCCGGACTTGAGTCCTGGAGATGGGAAGTACAGTGCCTGCACTCTGAAGGAGGGGTGTTAATGTTGCAGTTTAAAAACTGTAGTGTAAAGCACCCTTCTGGCAAGACAGTGATGGAGTGAATGATGAAAATTTTTCTTTTTCGGGCCACCCTGCCCTGGTGGGAATCGGCCGATGTGTTAATAAAAAATAAAAATATATATATTGCATATAAAAACAAAAGCTCACATTAAGGTCTGCAGGAAGTTTCTCAGCAAGTCGTTGAGCATACTCGTGAATCTTTGGGTGCAGGTAGATATTAGTGGTGTGCCAGAGTTTATTTAGCTGTTCTGTGGCTGCAGCTAACACCTTTCTGAAAAATATAAGTATATTATTAACTCATTAAATAGTAATAAGGCGAAAAGTAGACATCTGACGGAACGAATAGGGGCCAGGAGCTGAGACTCATCCCATGCACCCACATATAGGTGATTGCAGGATTCGGACCCATGATGAGCCAAACCTAAAATTAAGTCAGGACTGGATTGCCATACGTTCGAATCCTGTCCGTTCAGTGAGTTATATTTCTAATCTAAATGAGTAGTTATACGAAATTTAAGGTCAAACTTAGCTATGTTTGAGAATTATTTTCACATGACACGGGTTTAACAAACAAGATGGGAACCTCTGTTTCTCAATCCTTGAAGAACCTCTAAACCTTCCACAAGACACAAAATGTGACTTGTGAAAGGTCGAAAATGGTTCGAAACGTCGTCACAAATTTGGCTCTCTCTCTCTTGTGTGAGTTATTTGCGTATTTCAAGCTTTGATTTTAACCTGACCAATCTCTCAGTTTCGTAGATATTAAATGCCTCGAAAACCAACTCAAAAAACATATAATAGTAATAATAATAACTTCCTAAAGCTCGGGGATTTATTTTAATAGTTAATAACCCAGGTGTTAAAAATTAGTGCCACAGGTGTAAAGTTAATATCTGGGTATTAAGTTAATACTTCAGTATTAAGGTGATACCTTGTTATTAATACCCAGGTATTAAAAGTTAATATCTAAATCTAAAAAATTATCACACTAGTGTATTGGGTTAATAACCCGGATATTAAGTTCTACACCGGATATTAAGTTTATACTCCGGGTATAAGCAATTTAAGTTAAAAGTTACATACTTACGGGTGACAGTGGCCGACGCTGACAGTCACGATTCCTCCAAAAAGATCGAGATACCTTTTACCAGTGTGATCAAAGAGCCATTGCATGTGTCCATCGTGTATAAGGAGAGGCTGAGAGAAGTGGGTCACCAGGACAGGGTTCAGAAACGTTCCCTTCAACTTCACCACCTCATCATAATCAGGGCCCTGTACACATACATAAAACAGTAGGCGCACTGATGTAGTATTGGTAGGAATAATGATAATGTTAGGCTAGTTGTATAATATCTATTTGCCTAACTATAGGCCTACTGACCCATGCTCGGCAGGTCTTACTCAACACATTTTTAATGCACATTAAAAATGTGTTGAAAGGATAATAAAATATAATATGCAGAGCTAATTAGGAGATAAAACACTACAGGAAAACACACCTGTGTAGCACTACTGTTGTAGGTTCATTCTGTAGAATGTTATGTTAGTGTAGGAAGTCTTCAGTTCTACTGCAACTGTTTGTGTTGGATAAAAGTACCAGAGCAATTCAGTACCTAAATATATTAATAATGCAAATTGTGTTTCATTCTCTCCATGCATGATAAAAGGCATAATTAATATGAAAATGAATCTGGTATTTTGTGCTGAAACTGAGAGTTCCCTTCAACAAGTAATAATTAACTGGTAATATAAAGGTTTACAGGTTGGAAAAGTGAATAAGGTGGAATAGGATAAATGTGTTTAATACGTCATATAAGACTTACTTTATAAGTAGGACATAGGTACTCGCAGGCCGGCATGCTAGGCACCTGTGTCCACAGTGACCGCCGCCACCTGTCTTATAGGTGAAGTCAATCAATACATAAATAAATAAATAAATAGGAAAGAAGTCAAATTATGCAAAAGTACAACAGAAAGGATATATTATGCAAGACATACTGCTGCCACTGTCATATTTTGTACAGCTCCTGTGACTACTACACCGTGTACCTACTATATCACTTCTTATATCTTTGAAACAGTGAAGTTAAATATATATGGGTGTCTCAGGTCTTCAACAATATGTATGTCATCAGTTTCAAAACAAAAAAAAAAATTATGTGCCGTGTTTACAACAATACTTCACATATTTAGGGTTTCAGAAATTTATCTTTTAGTTGTCATTTTTTGGCGTAATTAATTTTTACAGACTAAGCTTCAACTTTAGCTTATTTCAAAGCCCGACCGTTGATATACACTATTCCTTAATAATGTGAGAAATCACGAAAGGGCTTAGAACTTTAATACTCTTTTACTGTAGTTATTTTGCATACAACATTGTATGTGAGACACCAAGTCAGTATATCTTACCCTGTCTTTTTTTTTTTTTTTTTTTGGCTGAGAAGCAAGTGTCAACAGAGATCTTCAGTGCTAACACGGCACTTTACAGACAATCAAAATTGAATAAACAACATAGTGTCCCTGAGACTGCACTCTTCCACAAGGATGCTGATAACAGTTGCGTACCCAGTAGAGATAGACTGTTTACAAAAACATTAAGAGAAAATAAAGTAACAGGCATCCCAGTTAGACCTCTACACAAGTTTCCTTTCACTTCTCACTGAGCCATTATTTCATACACTTTAAATTATTATTATAATCAAAAAGAAACGCTAAACCTACAAGAGTCATACAGCGCAGTATACAGTTTAAAAAATATCATTATTAAACATTATATCAAACAAATTTTTCTATTTTTTTAAACAATAAACGATGTTTTCGTACTTGTTGATTTGCCGGTATTCTCCCGGCCCGGGCCGTGTCCAAGTGGTGGCCCGGCCTTGGCTCCCTCTCTACGGAGTGTCTGAGACCGAAGTCTCCCAGTCCCTGGACCCATTATGTACCTCTGTAATCTTTTGACTACCGCCCACAGGATGGTTATGGGGTGCATAATAAAGATATTAAACTAATTAAACTAACCATGGGAGGAGGTACAAGTACCCCGTCATCGTTGGGACCAACTGTCCCCAGGCCAAGCCACATTCACCGCCCTCACGGGGCTCGTAGGGAGAAGCTAGGCCTCTCTGGTCTGCCATCCCCGCCCGAAGGGGGCTAATGGGAATGGCAGTCTTGTAAGCTGCAAGCTCTGCCTCAGGCACCTACTGGGCATGGTGTCGAACCCACACAGAACTTGATTTTTTTTTTTATTCGCCGGTATTCTCCCGGCCCGGGTCTTTTCCAAGTAGTGGTGACCCGGCCTTGGCTCCCTATCTGGGGAGTGTCTCGAGACCTAAGTCTCCCATGGGAGGAGGTACAAGTACCCCCTCATCTTTGGGACCAAGTGTCCCCAGGCCTAGCCACATTCCCCGCCCTCACGGGGCTCGTCCACAGTGGCGTATTAATAGCAATTCTGGAAAATATATATTCTGATTTTGCACACTTTATATAAATATTTTTTTTGTGACCGAATACAACTTAGTACATTGGCCGTCTGAGACATGGTTATACGTACTTATAACCTTAATTGCTAGAGGTGTAGAGGGGTAAGCCAGTGGAAGGCCTCGATCAGATGACCATAAGTATGGACCATAAGCTCCAGCTGTGGGTCATCATCTGACTAAGTCCCGCGTCAGGAAGCACTTGTCCTGCTTTCTGACAAACATTACTAAACTACCTACTGGCTAACAATACTTTCAAATCGTATTTATAAGCATGTCTTGCTAAGTAATTTTTGGACGCCAAATCCAAATATAAACTCGGTTTTAATCCATCGTGTTCATTTTCCCTGAAATAAAACCCAACGATGAAGGTCGTCAGTAAGAGCCTACATGAAGAAGAAATCTTGACTGAATCCTACTGTATCTTACAGCTAGGCTGTAAACACTAAAATATTGCAACAAACCCAATGATAGTAAGTTACTTTGACTTTTTCCCAGCATACATAAGGGGGATTACCAATAGACCCCTGGCTGTCTTCAAGAAGGCACTGGACAGGTACCTAAGTTCAGTACCTGACCAACCGGGCTGTCGTTCGTACGTCAGCTTGCGAGCGGCCAGCAGTAACAGCCTAGTTGATCAGACCCTGATCCACCATGAGGCCGGGTCTCAGCCCGGGCCGCGGGGGCGTTGACCCCCCGAAACCCTCTCCAGGTAAAAAAGTTACAAGGTATGATAATTGGACTTATGTGTATCTGTACCTAAATAAACTTACAAAAACAATTGATGGTTTGTATTCTGGTTGAATTCTGCTGGACACTGAATGGTGAAAATTGACATTTAATGTTCGTGTAAGTATAAAATATTGAAGGCTACCGTAACATACACATTTAAAAAAGGAAATAACAGCTGTGTTCCACAGGAGATAAGAACTTCTAAATTATTGCATAGAGGAGGCAGAGTGACTGATGTTGCATACCACCACACAACACAATGGAGCCCAGACTAGGCATCACTTACCATTGTTTGCACTGAAGAATGGGTGGGGATGTGTGCACACCTCAGGCAAGACCGTTGCGGTGCGGCCCAGTCCCTGGACCCATTATGTACCTCTGTAATGTTGAGGTACAGTCCCTGGACCCATTATGTACCTCTGTAATGTTGAGGTACAGTCCCTGGACCCATTATATACCACTGTAATATTGAGGTACAGTCCCTGGACCCATTATGTACCTCTGTAATGTTGAGGTACAGTCCCTGGACCCATTATGTACCTCTGTAATGTTGAGGTACAGTCCCTGGACCCATTATGTACCTCTGTAATTGTTGAGGTACAGTCCCTGGACCCATTATGTACCTCTGTAAATGTTGGGGTACAGTCCCTGGACCCATTATGTACCTCTGTAATGTTGAGGTACAGTCCCTGGACCCATTATGTACCTCTGTAATGTTGAGGTAAAGTCCCTAGACCCATTATGTACCTCTGTAATGTTGAGGTACAGTCCCTGGACCCATTGTGTACTTCTGCAATGTTGAGGCACAGTCCCTGGACCCATTATGTACCTCTGTAATGTTGAAGTACAGTCCCTGGACCCATTGTGTACCTCTGTAATGTTGAGGTACAGTCCCTGGACCCATTATGTACCTCTGTAATGTTGAGGTACAGTCCCTGGACCCAGTGTGTACCTCTGTAATGTTGAGGTACAGTCCCTGGACCCATTATGTACCTCTGTAATGTTGAGTACAGTCCCTGGACCCATTATGTACTCTGTAATGTTGAGGTTCAGTCCCTGGACCCATTATGTACCTCTGTAAGTTGAGGTACAGTCCCTAGACCCTTATGTACCTCTGTAATATTGAGGTACAGTCCCTGGACCCTTTATGTACCTCTGTAATGTTGAGGTACAGTCCCTGGACCCATTATGTACCTCTGTAATGTTGAGGTACAGTCCCTGGACCCAATTGTGTACCTCTGTAATGTTGAGGTACAGTCCCTGGACCCATGTGTACCTCTGTAATGTTGAGGTACAGTCCCTGGACCCATTATGTAACTCTGTAATGTTGTTAGGTAAGACACATATGCAACAGTTAGACAACTTTATTCCGAAACGTTTCGCCTACACAGTAGGCTTCTTCAGTCGAATACAGAAAGTAGGCAGGAACAGTAGAGATTGAAACGATGTAATCAGTCCATCACCCTTAAAGTCGTAGAATTTGAGGTTTCAGTCCCTCGGCTGGAGAAGTTCAGTTCCATAGTCAGGACTATCTGAAGATCAAGCGACAGTGCGGAGACTTAAATACTGTAATTTGAGTACAGTCCCTGGACCCATTGTGTACCTCTGTAATGTTGAGGTACAGTCTCTGGACCCATTATGTAACCTTGTAATGTTGAGGTACAGTCCCTGGGCCCATTATGTCCCTCTGCAATGTTGGGTACAGTCCTGACCCATTATGTACTCTGTAATGTTGAGGTACAGCCCTGGACCCATTATATACCACTGTAATATTGAGGTACAGTCCCTGGACCCATTATGTACCTCTGTAATGTTGAGGTACAGTCCCTGGACCCATTATGTACCTCTGTAATGTTGAGGTACAGTCCCTGGACCCATTATGTACCTCTGTAATGTTGAGGTACAGTCCCTGGACCCATTATGTACCTCTGTAATGTTGAGGTACAGTCCCTGGACCCATTATGTACCTCTGTAATGTTGAGGTACAGTCCCTGGACCCATTATGTACCTCTGTAATGTTGAGGTAAAGTCCCTAGACCCATTATGTACCTCTGTAATGTTGAGGTACAGTCCCTGGACCCATTGTGTACTTCTGCAATGTTGAGGCACAGTCCCTGGACCCATTATGTACCTCTGTAATGTTGAAGTACAGTCCCTGGACCCATTGTGTACCTCTGTAATGTTGAGGTACAGTCCCTGGACCCATTATGTACCTCTGTAATGTTGAGGTACAGTCCCTGGACCCAGTGTGTACCTCTGTAATGTTGAGGTACAGTCCCTGGACCCATTATGTACCTCTGTAATGTTGAGGTACAGTCCCTGGACCCATTATGTATCTCTGTAATGTTGAGGTTCAGTCCCTGGACCCATTATGTACCTCTGTAATGTTGAGGTACAGTCCCTAGACCCATTATGTACCTCTGTAATATTGAGGTACAGTCCCTGGACCCTTTATGTACCTCTGTAATGTTGAGGTACAGTCCCTGGACCCATTATGTACCTCTGCAATGTTGAGGTACAGTCCCTGGACCCATTGTGTACCTCTGTAATGTTGAGGTACAGTCCCTGGACCCATTGTGTACCTCTGTAATGTTGAGGTACAGTCCCTGGACCCATTATGTAACTCTGTAATGTTGTTAGGTAAGACACATATGCAACAGTTAGACAACTTTATTCCGAAACGTTTCGCCTACACAGTAGGCTTCTTCAGTCGAATACAGAAAGTAGGCAGGAACAGTAGAGATGTGAAGACGATGTAATCAGTCCATCACCCTTAAAGTCGTAGAATTTGAGGTTGTCAGTCCCTCGGCCTGGAGAAGTTCAGTTCCATAGTCAGGAACTATCTGAAGATCAAGCGACAGTGCGGAGACTTAAATACTGTAATGTTGAGGTACAGTCCCTGGACCCATTGTGTACCTCTGTAATGTTGAGGTACAGTCTCTGGACCCATTATGTACCTCTGTAATGTTGAGGTACAGTCCCTGGGCCCATTATGTACCTCTGCAATGTTGAGGTACAGTTCCTGGACCCATTATGTACCTCTGTAATGTTGAGGTACAGTCCCTGGACCCATTATATACCACTGTAATATTGAGGTACAGTCCCTGGACCCATTATGTACCTCTGTAATGTTGAGGTACAGTCCCTGGACCCATTATGTACCTCTGTAATGTTGAGGTACAGTCCCTGGACCCATTATGTACCTCTGTAATGTTGAGGTACAGTCCCTGACCCATTATGTACCTCTGTAATGTTGAGGTACAGTCCCTGGACCCATTATGTACCTCTGTAATGTCGAGGTACAGTCCCATTACGTATCTCGGTAATCTTTGTGACTACCTCCCACAGGCTGGATATGTTAATATCACATACCTACAAGTCCCTCCCAAGAAGCTCATTGCTAGTAATCCCTTCCTTAAATCTCTTGTTAGAGCAACTGCTCAAGAAGAAATTTCTCACCTAGCTGGTAGTAATAAGTTATCACACGTTTCCTTACACCTATTGTCCTGTTCACCTAGCAGCAAATAGGTACCTGGGTGTTAGTCGACTGGTGTGGGTCGCATCCTGGGGGACAAGATTAAGGACCCCAATGGAAATAAGTTAAGACAGTCCTCGATGACGCACTGACTTTCTTGGGTTATCCTGGGAGGCTAACCCTCCGGGGTTAAAAATCCGAACGAAATCTTATCTTATCTTATATACACTGATGGATCTAAACAGGAGTCTTCTGGCAGGGCTGCATCTGCTCTTGTTGCCACCTCCCTAGTTAAGAACGATAATAAATTTGTTGAGTTAGGCATAAGAATTAACAACTGGGCGTCTACACTGCAAACTGAATTGTTTGCAATCCTAATGGCGCTAAAGCTAACCTATGAGGCCTGGTCACAGACCGGGCCGCGGGGGCGTTGACCCCCGAAACTCTCTCCAGGTAAACTCCAGGTATGACACTGAGCTTGACTCTATCATCATTACTGATTCTATGTCATCATTGAAGGCTCTTGACTCATATAATGACTCCAACAACATGCTCATTGGGGAAGCCAGGTATAGATACTCAAAAATTAGGGACAAAGGAATTAATGTACAATTGCTATGGATCCCATCACACATTGGATTACTCCTTCATGATAAAGTTGATATGTTAGCCAAGAAGAGTACCCAGAAGGAGAATGTAGAATATAACTTTGGTATAACTGTGTCTAGCATTAGGAATAATATTGGGAGAGAAGTAAATAATGAAAATGATTGTTATAGGAATGCAGTTAGAAGCCTGAGTAGATCTATAACCCACTATGATAACATGAACGTAGATAAGTATGTTTATGGAGCAACTTGCAATGTGAACAGACTGACTAATGTTGTAGTGGCCAGACTTAGGCTTGGTTACAAGTACTTCTGGCAGTTTGGGAGACACACAGATGATGATCAAACTAAATGTAAATTATGTGATCAGGCATATGGTCACTCTCTTGAACACTATGTGCTTAATTGTCCACTTATTGAGGAATACAGAGACAGACAGTATAATAACCTATGTGACATGTCAAGATATCTTATTAATGAAAATAAGATACCAGATATACTAAGAAAATTTCCTAAATTTGCTTGTAACAGATAAGTGAACTATAGATATGTAGATATAAATCCATATGTATTCCTGTTAACCCTTTGGGGCCTAGTTCCTAGGCCTTTTGTGTATCCACATGCTCTCGCGCTACCGTCCACAGGATGGATATGGGGTGCACAATAAACTAGCCACTTCGGTGGCAAAATCTAAATCTAGGCTGGGTATGGGGTACATAATAAACATATTAAACAACTAACTCGCCCTACGGAGCGCTTTTGCCAATGTATTTTCACCTCAACTTCAGGTTTTCATTTCAACATCACTGTATATGAAATATATACAATAATCAGTGTCCAGTTATCATAGAGGTGAGTGATATCAATTCGTGTAGTTATAATACAAAATAATATGATGACGTAAGTTCATTTAAGATATTTTTTTCTTATCTAGGGTTTAACAAGGTTAGGGTAAGGATTCCTAACTTTATTTATCTACAAAGAGCTGTTACCTATACATCTGTTCATTTAAAAGTCTTTTTATTTTTATGAGACGTGCAAGTAGGGAACAAGATGAAGGTGAGCTATGTCTGGGCCAGCATTTTTATTTGATCAGCTGATTTTATTTCGTAGATATTATTATGCAAATCAAGATCTGTGCTCACCTAATTGTGGTTGCAGGGGTCGAAACTCAGCTCCTGGCCCCGCTTCTTTACTGAACGCTACTAGGTCCTCTCTCTCCCTGCTCCATGAGCTTTATCATACCTCATCTTAAAGCTATGTATGGTTCCTGCCTCCAGTACCTCACTTGCTAGACTGTTCCACTTCCTGACTACTCTATGACTGAAGAAATACTTCCTAACATCCCTCTGACTCATCTGAGTCTTCAAGTTCCAAGTGTGACCCCTTGTTTGTGTGTCCCATCTCTGGAACATCCTGTCTCTCTCCACCTTATCTATTCTACGCAGTATTTTGTATGTTGTTATCATGTCTCCCCTGACCCTCCTGTCCTCCAGTGTTATCAGGCCGATTTCCCTTAACCTTTCTTCGTAGGACATTCCCCTTAGCTCTGGAACTAACCTTGTCGCAAGCCTTTGCACTTTCTCTAATTTCTTGACGTGCTTAAACAGGTGTGGGTACCAAACAGGTGCTGCATACTCCAGTATGGCCCTGACGTGCACAGTGTACAGTGTCTTGAACGATTCCTTATTAAGGTATCGGAACGCTATTCTCAGGTTTGCCAGGCACCCATATGCTGCAGCAGTTATCTGGTTGATGTTTGTATGTGTGTCTCATGTTTCTCTGTATATACTTTCGCTTGTTTCTGCGAGGTACATTCAGACAATACACGTACATATATATGCAGAACAAGCCACCATGTTCTGCACTCTTAAGATCGCCCGTCTGCAATTTTATTGCATATATCTGTAAGCCATGCGTGTCGCAAGCTGCGACTGAGATGCCAGGAGAAGAGATTTCGTTCGGATTTTTAACCCCGGAGGGTTAGCCACCCAGGATAACCCAAGAAAGTCAGTGCGTCATCGAGGACTGTCTTAACTTATTTCCATTGGGGTCCTTAATCTTGTCCCCCAGGATGCGACCCACACCAGTCGACTAACACCCAGGTACCTATTTTCTGCTAGGTGAACAGGACAATAGGTGTAAGGAAACGTGTCGAAATGTTTCCACCCGCCGGGAATCGAACCCGGGCCCTCCGTGTGTGAAGTGGGAGCTTTAGCCACCAGGCCACCGGGCCTAATAACCCTTCTCCTGTATATATTACTAAGTTTAAGAAGAGAAACTCATTTTTCCTTTTAGGCCGCCCTGCCTCGGTGGGATACTGCTGGTGTGTTGAAAGAAGACATATATATATATATATATATATATTATATATATATATATATATATATATATATATATATATATATATATATATATATTATTGTGTGTGTGTATGTATGTATATATACAACAGAGGAACATAATATATACAGTATACATACAGTATATATACGTATACAGACACAGCAGACATCAATGATATATAGAAAGCCTGTTGTCATGCACATTTCTGGCAAACCAGGTTAATATTATCTCCAGGATGTGACCCACATCAGCCGACTAACACCCAGGTACCTATTTTACTGCTAGGTTAACAGGGACAGCAGGTATCTTAGGGAAACACGCCCCAATGTTTCCACCCGTACCGGAGATCGAACCGCGGACCTCCATGTGTGAGCTGAGTGCGTTACCAACCGGTTTATAGTATTTTTTTTTATCAAAATGTTGTACATCATATAAGCTTTTTACATGGCATAATGACCAGTTGTAATCCACTCATATAACTATGTTATTATAGCTTACCATGTCGCACTGATGACCTCGTCCACAGGAAAGACCACAGACTCTTCATGTTGCTTGTACCCTGAGGACACCACAAGCTGCTTGTACCCTGAGGACGCCACAAGCCGTTTTTACCCTGAGGATGCCACAAGCCGCTTTTACCCTGAGGACACCACAAGCTGCTTGTACCCTGAGGACACCACAAGCTGTTTGTACCCTGAAGACGCCACAAGCCGCTTTTACCCTGAGGATGCCACAACCCGCTTGTACCCTGAGGACGCCACAAGCCGCTTGTACCCTGAGGATGCCACAAGCTGCTTGTACCCTGAGGACGCCACAAGCCGCCTGTACCCTGAGGACGCCACAAGCTACTTGTACCCTGAGGATGCCACAAGCCGCTTGTACCCTGAGGACGCCACAAGCTGCTTGTACCCTGAGGACGCCACAAGCCGCTTGTACCCTGAAGACGCCACAAGCCGCCTATACCCTGAGGACGCCACAAGCCGCTTGTACCCTGAGGACGCCACAAGCCGCTTGTACCCTGAGGATGCCACAAACCGCTTGTACCCTGAGGACGCCACAAACCGCCTGTACCCTGAGGACGCCACAAGCTGCTTGTACCCTGAGGATGCCACAAGCCGCTTGTACCCTGAGGATGCCACAAGCTACCAGTCCCCTGAGGAAACCACGTTACCAGTACCCAAGTGAAGGTTCACGGACAGTTCGGCTCACCATTCACCTGCCCTGTGCCAGCGATCAAATACTGCCAGTACCCAGAGCGCGACACACACTGCCAGTACCCAGAGCACGACACACACTACCAGTACCCAGAGCGCAACACACTGCCAGTACCCAGAGCGCGACACACACTGCCAGTACCCAGAGCGCGACACACACTGCCAGAACTCACAGCACACAAGTAACACGTAACTTCACTACCTCAAACATACATGCAGTTCTTTCTGCTTGTATTACACTTACCTTCCATGTTCGGATGCGTCACAACACACTGCATAGCCAATGTTTTTCTCTTCACATACATACCGAAAGTCTCTGGATTGTACATATATTTCAAGATATTACTAAGAATATATGGCCAGAGAATATATGGCCAGGGGTACTTGGCCTGGATCGTTGTTCTAACCATCATAGCTCTCAGGCGAACACATGAGGATAAAGTTGACAATTGTGGCTTAATTATATAAATCTGGGTTGCCCTTGGTAACCATCAGTTACTCATTGATTTACTTGACATTTCCTTTACATCTCTGTCCTCCAGGGAGGTACCTTGATGCTGGTGAGGGGCTTTTGATCTAGAGGCCCTCCAGGGAGGTTCCTTGATGCTGGTGAGGGGCTTTTGATCTAGGGGCCCTCCAGGGAGGTACCTTGATGCTGGTGAGGGGCTTTTGATCTAGGGGCCCTCCAGGTTCCTTGATGTTGGTGAGGGGCTTTTGATCTAGGGCCCCTCCAGAGAAGTTCCTTGATGCTGGTGAGGGGTTTTGATCTAGGGCCCCTCCAGGGAGGTTCCTTGATGCTGGTGAGGGGCTTTTGATCTGGGGCCCCTCCAGGGAGGTTCCTTGATGCTGGTGAGGGCTTTTGATCTAGGGGCCCCTCCAGGGAGGTTCCTTGATGCTGGTGAGGGGCTTTTGATCTAGGAGCCCTCCAGGGAGGTACCTTGATGCTGGTGAGGGGCTTTTGATCTAGGGGCCCTCCAGGTTCCTTGATGTTGGTGAGGGGCTTTTGATCTAGGGCCCCTCCAGAGAAGTTCCTTGATGCTGGTGAGGGGTTTTGATCTAGGGCCCCTCCAGGGAGGTTCCTTGATGCTGGTGAGGGGCTTTTGATCTGGGGCCCCTCCAGGGAGGTTCCTTGATGCTGGTGAGGGCTTTTGATCTAGGGGCCCCTCCAGGGAGGTTCCTTGATGCTGGTGAGGGGCTTTTGATCTAGGGGCCTTCCAGGGAGGTTCCTTGATGCTGGTGAGGGGCTTTTGATCTAGGGCCCCTCCAGGTTCCTTGATGTTGGTGAGGGGCTTTTGATCTAGGGCCCCTCCAGAGAAGTTCCTTGATGCTGGTGAGGGGTTTTGATCTAGGGCCCCTCCAGGGAGGTTCCTTGATGCTGGTGAGGGGCTTTTGATCTGGGGCCCCTCCAGGGAGGTTCCTTGATGCTGGTGAGGGCTTTTGATCTAGGGGCCCCTCCAGGGAGGTTCCTTGATGCTGGTGAGGGGTTTTTGATCTAGGGCCCCTCCAGGGAGGTTCCTTGATGCTGGTGAGGGGCTTTTGATCTGGGTCCCCTCCAAGGAGGTTCCTTGATGCTGGTGAGGGCTTTTGATCTAGGGCCCCTTCAGGGAGGTTCCTTGATGCTGGTGAGGGGCTTTTGATCTAGGGCCCCACCAGGGAAGTTCCTTGATGCTGGTGAGGGGTTTTGATCTAGGGCCCCTCCAGGGAGGTTCCTTGATGCTGGTGAGGGGCTTTTGATCTAGGCCCCCCAAGGAGGTTCCTTGATGCTGGTGAGGGGCTTTTGATCTGGGGCCCCTCCAGGGAGGTTCCTTGATGCTGGTGAGGGCTTTTGATCTAGGGGCCCCTCCAGGGAGGTTCCTTGATGCTGATGAGGGTTTTTGATCTAGGGCCCCTCCAGGGAGGTTCCTTGATGCTGGTGAGGGGCTTTTGATCTGGGGCCCCTCCAAGGAGGTTCCTTGATGCTGGTGAGGGCTTTTGATCTAGGGCCCCTCCAGGGAGGTTCCTTGATGCTGGTGAGGGGCTTTTGATCTGGGGCCCCTCCAGGGAGGCTCCTTGATGCCGGTGAGGGGCTTTTGGTCTATGGCCCCTTCAAGAAGGTTCCTTGATGCTGGTGAGGGTTTTTGATCTAGGGCCCTTCCAGGGAGGTTCCTTGATGCTGGTGATGGGCTTTTGATCTAGGGCCCTTCCAGGGAGGTTCCTTGATGCTGGTGAGGGGCTTTTGATCTAGAGCCCTTCCAGGGAGGTTCCTTGATGCTGGTGAGGGGCTTTTGATCTAGGGCCCCTACGGGGAGGTTCCTTGATGTTGGTGAGAGGCCTTTAATCTAGGGCCCCTCCAGGGAGGTTCCTTGATGCTGGTGAGAGGTTTTTGATCTAGGGCCCTTCCAGGTAGGCTCCTTGATGCTGATGGAATTTGATCTAGGACCCCTCCAGGGAGGTTCCATGATGCTGGTGAGGGGCCTTTGATCTAGGGCCCTTCCAGGGAGGTTTCTTGATGCTGGTGAGGGGTTTTTGATCTGGGGCTCCTACGGGGAAGTTCCTTGATGCTGGTGAGGGGCTTTTGATCTAGGGCCCCTCCACGGAGGTTCCTTGATGCTGGTGATGGGATTTGATCTAGGGCCCCTCCAGGGAGGTTCCTTGATGCCGGTGAGGGGCTTTTGATCTAGGGCCCTTCCAGGGAGGTTCCTTGATGCTGGTGATGGGCTTTTGATCTAGGGCCCTTCCAGGGAGGTTCCTTGATGCTGGTGAGGGGCTTTTGATCTAGGGCCCCTCCAGGGAGGTTCCTTGATGCTGGTGAGAGATTTTTAATCAAGGGCCCTTCCAGGTAGGTTCTTTGATACTGATGGGATTTGATCTAGGACCCCTCCAGGGAGGTTCCATGATGCTGGTGAGGGCCCTTGATCTAGGGCCCTTCCAGGGAGGTTCATTGATGCTGGTGAGGGGCTTTTGATCTGGGGCTCCTACGGGGAAGTTCCTTGATGCTGGTGAGAGGCCTTTAATCTAGGGCCCCTCCACAGAGGTTCCTTGATGCTGGTGAAGGGCTTTTGATCTAGGGGCCCCTCCACGGAGGTTCCTTGATGCTGGTGATGGGATTTGATCTAGGGCCCCTCCAGGGAGGTTCCTTGATGCTGGTGAAGGGCCTTTGATCTAGGACCCTTCCAGGGAGGTTCCTTGATGCTGGTGCGGGGATTTTCATCTAGGGCCCTTCCAGGGAGGTTCCTTGTTGCTGGTGAGGGGCTTTTGATATTGAAAGTAATGCTACAAGCTAAGTCAAAGATTAAATAGTGGACTGGAGGGGGACTTATCTTGAAAGACAGCTTTCGCCTACACAGCCGTCCCTGCAGGCGATGTCTTGAAAAGATGTATGCAATCCCTCAAGGGTTGGAAATTAATATATATTATGAGTTTAAAGGGGGCGTTATGACAGTATTTTCATTACTGAATACTGACTGGATCCATAGAATCCTATACTCACGTGTGTGGGCTAAAAAGCCCGTATGTCACCGGGGTATATGGTAATCTATTCAGCGTACATAGTTCTCAACTGCGTAGTCAATGGAATCATCACACGCTAAACAGACTTACCTGGGTTTGTGTATCGGACCCTTATACGCGGATATTGTTGTCTTGATTTAAGAATAATGTCTTTGAGAATGTCCACATCTTCCACAGTCTAGGAATACCCACACTGGCACACTGTGTATGCCTGGAGGGTATACTGAGGCAGTGTCTACCTAGAATATACCTGGAGGGTATACTGAGGCACAGTGTCTACCTAGAATATACGTGGAGAGTATACTAAGACACAGTGTCTACCTACTGAGGCAAAGTACCTACCTACAGAGGCACAGTGTCTACCTACAGAGGCACAGTGTCTACCTACTGAGGCACAGTGTCTACCTACTGAGGCACAGTTTCTACCTACAGAGGCACAGTGTCTACCTTCTGAGGCAGTGTCTTCCTACTGAGGCATAGTGTCTACCCACTGAGGCAGTTTCTACTACACGGCGAGGTTCTGCATTCAATTCCCAGTGTGGGTAGAAACATTTGGTGTGTTTCTTTACACCAGTTGTCTATGTTCACCCATCAGTAAAATGGGTACCTAGGAGTTAGCCGACTGGTGTGGGTCGCATCCTGGGACAAGGACCTAATTTGCCCGAAATGCTTGGCGTAACAAGGGGGCTTTCTATATAGCAGTATGTCACTGATGTCAGCCTGTATACCCTGAACATGTATTTGTAGTAAATATAGATATTATATTACTGAGGCACAGTGTCTACCTACTGAAGCACAGTGTCTACCTACTGAGGCACAGTTTTTACCTACTGAGGATGCAGGGCCCTATGTCTAGCTCTTATATAATGCCATATAGATTACTGTTGCTCTTCATGGTACTCTGCTTTAATAAAAAAAACTAAGACTACAAATCAGCCAGAACAAAATGGTAAGATTCATCCTGGACATGGGTCCAAGAAAGCATGTTGGCCAGGATGAGCTACAACTGGATTTGCTGAATGTTGAAGACAGAGTAATACAACTAAAGCTAAATCATGTTTATAAAATTGCTCAAAAGCAGTGTCCAGAATATCTTGCTGCCATGTTTGTCAAGGCTGGCAACCAAGCAAGTATAGTACTAGGGGGAAGTGACTACAACTTTGTAGTACCCACAGTGGGTAGTCAGGTTTCAAACACCTTTTATTGTACAGCAATAAAGGAGTGGAACAGACTGAATACACATGTCAAAGCCTGCTATAGCAAGAGCCAATTCAATAAGAGAGCTAAGAGGTACCTAATGAATGTAGCTACAGAAAGGGAGGAGAGTAATTTCTGTATAGCTAACATTCATGTTTCTATTACTGTTATTTGATCTCTTTTGTTAATGTAAATGACTCACTTTACCTTATTCCTAGTATATCTCCTTTTATTGTAATTGCTTTTCACACAGCTGAGTTACTTAGCTGTTTAACATTTAAGGTTTAAATAATAAGACATTACAAGGATCTCAATGGAAATGAGTCAAGCTGACTTTTTTGGGTTATCCTAGGTAATTACACATATGCTGCTTTGTATGATAATTTATGTAACTATTTATGTGTACCTGTACCTGAATAAAAACTTACTAATGTTTAATCCGATCGATCAAGAGTGAGGGGCGGTGTCAGAATTTCTGTACTGGGTGAGCTTAGGGGCGGAACTCTGGTAAAAGGGGGGATCATTATTGTAATCAGTACTAAGCACTACTAGGAAAGGGAAGGGTGGGCTAGGAAACTTGTTCTGAAGTAATGTTAATATTACTAATTTTTAATTGGAGGGCTGAGGGAAATTATAATCATAACTAAGTGCTAAACCCACGAGGGTCATATAGCACTGATGTGTTTTACCATTATATTATCAAGCACCTTCAAGACTCTTGACTTTTTTTTTTTGTTTTTTTTTGTTTACAACTACAGTAGACCGTTATTTAGCACGAGTTTATTTGGCATGATTTGGGTATTGCACGACTGAAAAATTGTGGCACAATTTTATATAACATGTCGTACAATTAATTTAACACGGTTCAGTTTCTGGGAAGGAAAAACAAATTCTCTTTTGCTCAAGCAGCTGCCTTGTTGTGGAGCAGCCAGGGAGCATTCCCGCCATCCCCTGCCACTCCCCGACACCACCCCATCGTTCGTAATTCATACAAGTCCAGTCTTTCTCTGCTACAAGGCAGCTGTGTTTGTGAATTGTGTTATGATATTTTAATTACCATATCTTGTATCTGCCAAGCAATCATGACACCCAGTAGCCATACCAGTGTTGTTATTTTGGACAACGAAAAAGAGGTAAACATAAGTTTGTGTGATTGAATGACTAACTTACTGAATGACTGACTGAATTGACTGATTTACTGAGTGACTTGACTGACTTACTGAATGACTTGACTGACTTAAAGTTAGACACTCCAGTACAACCATAGACTTCAGTACCAGAACCTCTACCATCCACCTCAGCCCAGTAGGGCCATAGCACAACTCTCCACTCTCTTCATAATCATCCACAAGCACCAGCATCTACAATTTAAGGTAAGAAATACTATTACAGTCAACCCTCAACTAACGGCAGCATTAAGTAACGGCAATTTTGTCTAACAGCACTTTTTGCTGTAGAAAAAATGCCTTAACCAATGGCGAAAAACTTAACCAACGACATTTGTCCACCACTCCAAGAGTCAGTGTGCCATTGTTTACAAGCTGTTGAGGTCGGTTTCCACGTGTGCCTCCGATGTATTTTGGATTATTCTACTATTTGTAGTGCTTGTAACTGCTAAATATGCCACCATGGGTCCCAAGAAAGCTTCTAGTGCCAAGCCTGTGTTAAAAAGGGTGAGAATTACGATGGAAACATACATGTACAATGACACTAGTGTCCCATTTTAGGGAAATTCTAAGGGCACATGAGAAACAGAGCTCTCTGGACAGCTATTTTGTGCAACAGGGGTTAAGTGACTCTCAAGCTGGTCCTAGTGACATTAAAAAAACCAAGGAAGGAGGTAAGCCCACCAAAGGACTTGGTACCTGAAGTCCTTCTGGATGGGGATTCTCCTTCCAAGCAATAGACAATTCTGAATTTCCCCTGCTGCTGGCACATCACTCATCAACAACTCCACAATAAAGGTATGTGGCATTTAATTATTGTTTATTTTGCATGTCCCATTCCTTTCCATATAAGGAAATGTATATTTCATGTAAAAAAAAAAAATCAGACTTTGGGGTGTCAGGAACGGATTAATTCTATTTCCATTATTTCTTATAGGGAAAATTAACTCGACCAACAGCAAGCCCTCTGGAACGGATTAATGCCGTTCTTTGAGGGTCCACTGTATTTCTGTTACATCTGTAGTCACAAGCAGTAAAAACAACATAATACATCACAACAATGAACTAAAACTACATATTCACTTTTATTTTTGTAAGATGTGGAGGCCTAAAAAAAAGTTGTTTGGCTTTTTGGGGACTCACAGGAGCGTAACCCTATTTTTCCCATAAGCTCTTCAGTTCAAATAACACGATTTTTACCTAACATGGCATTTTCAGGAATGTAACTACCATGCTAAATGATGGTATACTGTATAACCTTTCTTTGTTGATGGTGCAAGAATTTTTTTTTTATTTTTCTATTCTTTTTACTTGGTATATATGTAGTTATAATGTCTCTTTTCCTCCATTTAATACTTAATCACACTATCTATATTTTTGGTGTGCTCTATTATCATTCTCTTTTATTTTTAATTCATCTTATTGACATTAAATTGTTGTCCATTTGCTCACTTTATGAGAGCCTTCTTATAGGGATTTCCTAGTGTTAATGAAATGTCAGATAAAAGTCTTCTTCTTTCAACAAACTGGCCATATCCCACCGAGGCAGGGTGGCTCAAAAGGAAAAATAAAAGTTTCTCCTTTTAAATTTAGTAATATATACAGAAGAAGGGGTTACTAGCCTCTTGCTCCCAGTATTTTAGTTGCCTCTTATGACATGCATGGCCGCATGGCTTATGAAGGAAGAATTCTGTTCCACTCACCCATGGAGAATCAGATAAAAGTATTAACTTTTATTTTTTAAGAAATTACCAGTACTAATACACAATAATAAGAAAGTTTCAGTACAAAATATAAACCTCCCTAAGCATGCTTATTAACTGGTACAAAATGTGTTTATTTAAAAAAATATATATATATACAGCCTCTCCTCACTTAGCTATGTACTTGTTTACCAATGACTCGGACTTATGACAGGCTCTCTGACCAGTATGCTTACCTAAATAATGTATATTAGAGCTGATTTCCTCGATACTGTGTATTACAACATACAGTAAACTACTGTGTAAATCTTTAAAAATATACCAGAAATGTTATAAATGGTGCAAAGGAGACATTAAAACAATATCAAAGATGGTTGACACAAACCCACTACCATTATAGCATGTTCCTCACTTAGCAACAAATTCATTTACCAATGTAGTCTTAGGAACGGTACTCCATCATTAAGTGAGGAGAGGCTGTATATAACTTCACTAAGTTTTAATATGCTTATTTATCCCTAAAATATTGCTATCTGTACTGAACCCTAAGTGAGTGTGGTATGAGAAATTACTCAATATTAAAGTCCCAATTTGCCAGAAGATATATTATGAATCATATCCTGGATGCGCTTTAGTTCATTAAATTTCCTCGTCATCTCCTCCAGCTCTGCTTCCTTCGCTGACATGGATTCTTCATGACTGCGTATCAACAACTCTAATTCAGAATTCTGAGGAAAGAAAATACAATTAACAAAATGCATAGCGTTAACGAAACAAAACAAATCTATGGTCAGAGGAATGGAGTTAACTTGCCCGTGCCAAATTAATTTAAAACAAGTTCTTAATGGTGTCATTCACAAGATTTTAAATTTTTTTTTCTTTTTTCTTTAACAAGTCGGCCGTCTCCCACTGAGACAGGGTGACCCGAAAAGAAAGAAAATCCCCAAAAAGAAAATATTTTCATCATCATTCAACACTTTCACCTCACTCATACATAATCACTGTTTTTGCAGAGGTGCTCAGAATACAACAGTTTAGAAGCATATACGTATAAAGATACACACCCATATAAAAGTGTTGGTACCACTATACTTTCATACATTCCCTTCTTTGCCTCCATAGATAACGTTTTTTGTCTCCACATATACCTCAATGCACCAGTCACCTTTTTTCCTTCATCAATTCTATGATTAACCTCATCCTTCATAAATCCATCCGGTGACACTTCAACTCCCAAATATCTGAAAACATTCACTTCTTCCATACTCCTCTCCAATTTGATATCCAATTTTTCTTTATCTAAATCATTTGGTACCCTCATCACCTTACTCTTTTCTATGTTCACTTTCAAGTTTCTACCTTTACATACTCTTCCAAACTCGTCCATTAACCTTTGTAATTTTTCTTTAGAATCTCCCATAAGCAAAGTATTGTCAGCAAAAAGTAACTGTGTCAATTCTCATTTTGTATTTGAGTCCCCATAATTCAATCCCACCCCTCTCCCGAACACCCTAGCATTTACTTCTTTTACAACCCCATCTATAAATACATATTAAACAACCATGGTGACATTACACATCCCTGTCTAAGACCTACTTTTACCGGGAAATAGTCTCCCTCTCTTCTACACACTAACTTGAGCCTCACTATCCTCGTAAAAAAAAGTCTTTACAGCATTTAGTAACTTACTACCTATTCCATATACTTGCAACATCTGCCTCAATGCTCCCCTTATTCACTCTATCATATGCCTTTTCTAAATCCATAAATGCAATGAAAACTTCTCTACCTTTATCTAAATACTGTTCACATATATGCTTCAATGTAAACACTTGATCTACACATTCCCTACCCACTCTAAAGCCTCCTTGCTCATCCACAATCCTACATTCTGTCTTACCTCTAATTCTTTCAGTAACAACTCTACTGTACAATTTTCCTGGTACACTCAGTAAACTAATTCCTCTATAATTTTTACAATCTATTTTGTCCCCCTTCCCTTTATATAAAGGAACTATACATGCTCTCTGCCAATCCCTAGGTACCTTCCTCTCTTTCATACATTTATTAAACAAAAATACCAACCACTCCAACAATATATAACCCCCTGTTTTTAACATTTCTGTCATGATCCCATCAGTTCCAGCTGCTTTACCCCCTTTCATTCACCGTAATGCCTCACGCACCTCCCCCACACTCACATCTTGCTCTTCTTCACTCCTACAAGATGGTATACCTCCCTGGCCAATGCATGAAATTACCGCCTCCCTTTCTTCGTCAACATTTAAAAGTTCCTCAAAATATTCTCGCCATCTACCCAATACCTCCATTCGTTTCCTAGGCTTTCTTAACTTGTTTAACTCAATCCAAATTTTTTTCTTATTTTCATCAAAATTTCTTGACAGTGCCTCTCCCACTCTATTATCTGCTCTCCTCTTGCACTCTTTCACCACTCTCTTCAACTTTCTTTTACTCTCCATATACTTTGCTCTTCTTATAACACTTCTGGTTTGTAAAAACCTCTCATAAGCTACCTTTTCTCTTTTATCACACTCTTTACTTCATCATTCCACCAATCACTCCTCTTTCCTTTTACACCCACCCTCCTATAACCACAAACTTCTGCCCCAAATTCTAAAACTGCTTTTTTTTTTTTTTTAAACTATTCCAACCCTCTTCAACCCCTCCCCTCCCCCCACTTCTCATACTTGCACCAGCCCACCTTTCTGCCAATAGTTGCTTATAACTCACCCGAACAACCTCCTCCCTTAGTTTATACACTTTCACCTCCCTCTTACTTGTTGTTTCCATTTTCCTCTTGTTCCCACTACCTCTTTAACTGTAGCTACAACTAAATAATCATCTGATATATCAGTTGCCCCTCTATAAACATGTACATCCTGGAGCCTACCCATCAACCTTTTATCCACCAATACACAATCTAACAAACTACTTTCATTACATGCTATATCATACCTTGTATATTTATTTAACCTCTTTTTCAGAAAATATGTATCACTCATTACCAAACCTCTTTCTACACCTAGCTCAATTAAAGGCTCCCCATTTTCATTTACCCCTACATTCACTCAACAATAACCAAAATCTCTCTCTACACTTCTGTTTTCTCCAGGTGCATATATGCTTACTATAACCCACTTTTCACATCCAACTTTCATTTTACTCCACATAATCCTTGAATTAATACATTTATACTCCCTCTTTTCCTGCCATAGCTTATCCTTCAACATTATTGCTACTCCTTCTTTAGTTCTAACTCTATTCGAAACCCATGACCTAATCCCATTTATTTCTCTCCACTGAAACTCACCCAGCCCCTTCAGCTTTGTTTCACTTAAAGCCAGGACATCCAGCTTCTTCTCATTCATAACATCCACAATCATCTCTTTCTTATCATTTGCACAACATCCACACACATTCAAACATCCCACTTTGATAATTTTCTTCTTTTTCTTTTTAGTATGCTATACAAGAAAATTGGTTACTAGCCCATTGTTCCCAGCATTTTAGTTGACTTTTACAACACACATGGCTTATGGAGGAAAGATTCTTATTTCACTTCCCCATGGTTATAAAAGGAAAATTAATAAGAACAAGAACTATTAAGATAAAATCAAAGAAAACCCAGATGAGTGTATATAAATAAATGTGTACATGTATGTGTAGTGTGACCTAAGTGTAAGTAGAAGTAGCAAGACGTACTTGCAATCTTGCATGTTTATGAGACAGACAAAAGACACCAGCAGTCCTACCATCATGTAAAACAATTACAGGCTCTCATTTTACACTCACTTGGCAGGACGGTAGTAGCTCCCTGGGTGGTTGCTGTCTACCAACCTACAACTTATAATGTACTGAATAAACACCAGTATTAGTCTGTGCATATATGAAAACAAAGGAAAAAATAAGATTTGTTTTTAATTTGTTTTGGCATATTTTCCCATGCCTTTGGTGTCCATGCTATAAAATGCACTCTAATTTGCTTTGATATGAAAGTTCCTACAATTATTAATTTTCATTAAAAAAAAAGGGAGGGGGTGCTCATTATTAAAATAAATTTTTACCTCTTTCTTCAGCTGCAGCTGCAACTTCTCAACCCTTTGGTTTTCCTTCTGCAAATCATCATATTCTCTTCGTCCTTTTTTAAGCTCTTCTTCTAACTTTTGGTTCTGATCTTGCAACTCTACAATAAGAAAAAATATTATAAAAACATTAAGTCAGAATGGAGACTGGACTTGGGCAAATAACACAAGGTCTAATTGTTAAAGGTTACCAAATGCATATGTGAGGCAAAGGGATTTTAAAATAAAAACTAGTATGTAAAATAAAGGGAGGGGGTGAAGATGGTTTTGTGTGTGAGGAGGTTGGACATCTAGCAGACATGTGTGATCGTGTTAAATAGGAGTGGACGCAAATGGTTTGTGGGACTTGATGAGCTGTTGGATTATGAGCAAGATAACATTTTGTGAAGGGATTCAGGGAAACAGGTTAGCTGGACTTGAATCCTGGAGGTTAGAAGTACAGTGCCTGCACTCTGGAGGGGTGGGGATATCTGTAGTTTGGAGAAGCATCTGAATGGTTGCATCAGGATGCCTCAGGCAAGACAGTATTGGAGTGAACATTGGTAAAAGTATTTCTTTTTCAGGTCACCCAACCTTTGTGGGAGATGGCCTGTATGTTAAAAAAATGTAAAATTAAAATAAATAAGATAATGGATAGTAGGAAACAACACACTGAATATAATAACCCTTCTATTGTTATAATAATGAGAAACTTACTGAACAAACATGCAATACAGTGGACCCCCGAATTACGATATTAATCCGTTCCAGAGAGCACATTGTAAGACGAAATTACTGTAAGTCGAATTAATTTTCCCCATAAGAAATAATGGAAATCAAATTAATCCGTTCAAGACACCCAAAAGTATGAAAAAAAAAAAATTTTACCACATGAAATACACATTTTCCTACACACAAAAAGAAGTACTAGTGTACTAAATGAAGAATAAATGACACTTACCTTTATTGAAGATGTGGTAATGAGTGATCAGACACTGTTTGTGCCCTGGGAGTGCCTTTTCCTCCTGCATAATGTAGGTCCTGTTTGGCATTTTTTTCCAGAACAGGCCTTATCACACTGTGTATGCCACTATGATTCTTAAATCTCTCGAACCAAACTTTGCTGGCCTTAAATTCACCAATATGAGAACTAGTTCCAGGCATTTTTTCCTGTTCACCTGGGTGTTAGCCAACTGGTATGGGTCGTATCCTGGGGGACAAGATTAAGGACCCCAATGGAAATAAGTTAGACAGTCCTCAATGACACTGACTTTCTTGGGTTATCCTAGGTGGCTAACCCTCTAGGGTTAATTGTTTCTCGATATTCTCGATAAGCCACACCAACAACAGTCTCTCCACATCTTGGAATAGTACAGCTGACTGTGGTACGTACGATAGTGTATTTCAATATTATTTCTCACCCTTTTTGCCACAGGGTTGGCACTAAAAGCTTTCTTTGGGCCCATGGTGGCTTATTTAGCAGTTATAAGCACTAAAAACACTGGAATAATACAAAATTTATCGAATGTTTGCATGCAACCGTCCGCCCTGGCTTGTAAACAATGTCACACTAGCTCAGCTGAGACGCTCAGGCCAAACAGACCAGACGGCCGCGTTCGGGACGAATGATGTAGTCGAGTTTTTCAATGTAGGTCAGGGTAAAATTTTTACGCTGACAAGCATCAATGTCGGTTTTATTGTAGGTCAAGGCCATCGTAAGTCGGGGGTCACTGTATAAGTAAGCATTAATAAGATAAGCCTGGTATTAGTTGATGTTTGAGAGAGTTACAGCAATCCTACCAGTGCTAAACTTCAAATAATTTTCCACTTGAAAATAAGTCTTCATACAAATGAACTCCTAACTTACAGAAGCCCAGCTACAAATATCCATATTTACAAACCATACCACACGTGGGGATAGAACCTATTGTCAGTCATAAAACTCCAAACTGATGCATTAGCCACTGGGCCAGCTGACTACAATAAGATTCGTCAAACTTTGTATATTTATACACCATAGGAAGGTTAGCATAGGCACCACTGTGACCACAAATGCAATTTTTTACAGACGAATCTCCAACCAGCGTGGCTGTGATGAACTCATGCTCAAGTCCCCTCAAAGCTGTCATCATGACTCACGAAATTGTAATCACACGATTCCAAACAAACCATACCATACCACGATGACGGCTTTGAGGGGACTTGAACTAGAGTTCATCATGGCCATGCTGGTGGGAGATTCATCTGTAAAAACTTGCATTTGTGGTCACAGTGGTGCCTATGCTAACCTTCCTATGGTGTATAAATATACCTAATTGGATGAATCTTATTGTAACCAGCTGGCCCACTGGCTAACGCGTCGGTCTGGAGTTTTATGACTCTCTGACTGTGGGTTCTATCCCCACCTATGGTATGGTTTGTTTGCAATTGTGTCATTACGATTTTGTGAATCCATATTTTGCAGACAGGGCACTTAGGAAACCAAACCTAATTTTACAAACTCCAGTCTATAGATATGAATATGTGTGAAGCATAATTAACTTTGTACTATTGTTTTCTATAGGAAAACAGACCTGTGTTACAAACAACTTTTTTGAAAATTGGTATACAAGGATGTAACTCATTTACATAGTAAGTTGAGTACCTAGAAACAGTTTTATAGATTTATAAATTTCCCCTATTAGTAAACAAACCATGGAATGGGTGGGGATAGAACTCGTGGCAAGCGAGTCATAAAACTCTAAGCCAGTGCATAAGCCACTGGGCCAGCTGACTACAATAAGATTCATCCAACTAGGTTTATTTAAACACCATAGGGAGATCAGCATGAGCCCCACTGTGACCACAAAAGCAAGTTTTTGTAGATGAATCTCCCTGAATAATTAATAGTTTTCATCCATCCATTTCCCACAATATAAAATTTTAACAGGTGTATTGAAAATTTTAAATGACCTTAGAATAAGACAGAAGTTGGCTTCTCATAAATAAGAAAGCTTAGAGCAAATAACACTTCATCGTATAACAATTATCATATAAAATAATTTGTTTTTATTTGATATTCAGGACTTACTCTGGTGCTTTTCCTGCTCTTCCTTAATTATCTTGTGTAAATTTTTTATCTCGTTGTGAGCATCGCCCAACTGCCGCTGGAGTCGACGAATGTTCTCCTCCCGATTATCTAGATGGTCTCTCAGTGATGATGCTTCCTTTTGCAAATCTATTTTTTGCCGTTCTAACTCTGTTTTGTCCTAGGAGAAATAATTTGATTACCCAAAATATTAATGAAGCTTTTTATTTTAACAAACTAGCCATCTCCCACCTAGGCAGGATGACGAAGAAACACTTTCATAAAGTTTTTCTTCTTTTTACATTTAATAATTTACACAGGGGAAGGGATTACTAGCCCATGATAAGTTATTAACTGCATAATTTTAAAAATTTATCTGTTAATATATATAAAAAAATATGGTAAAATTAAGAGGTAGGCATCATCCCACATTTACCTCGCAACAAACCAAATAACACATTTGTATGAGCAATCAAAATGATTCAGCAAGAGAAATTATATTGCTAAAGCTTACCTGACGGAAATTTTCTCGAAGCTGCCTGGCAGAGCTCTGAATTTGCGAGATGCTTGCTTGAACTTCAGCTTTCTCCTTTTGAGCTATCTGCAAGCGCTCCTCCCATGAGCACAGGAGACTTCTCAGATGGTCATTCTGGTAGTAGTAGTTTTAATTAGGTTTCTCAAAGTAATTAACATCATCATCTTTCTTTCAACACACCGGCCGTATCCCACCGAGGCGGGGTGGCCCAAAAGGAAAAAGGAAAGTTCCTCCTTTTACATTTAGTAATATACACAGGAGAAGGGGTTACTAGCCCCTTGCTCCCGGCATTTTAGTCGCCTCTTACAACACGCATGGCTTACGGAGGAAGAATTCTGTTCCACTTTCCCATGGAGAATTGAAAAGGAAATATTAAAGGAATAAGAGCTATTAAGAAACACACAGGAGAAATGAACTTAGGTGTACTCTATACACATAGAAGAAATAAATTAGGTGTATACTGAATGTAAGTGGTGTGCAAGATTTACCTACTGTCTTAGGTGTTTCTAAGACAGAAAAGAAAAGACCAGCATTCCCAGCAATTGAAAAATGATTTACAGTATATGTTAAGCTAAAATGTTTTCTTAGAAAATTCAATGACTTCTTTACCATTACCACTTACATTTTTTTTTTTTTTGAACGAGTCGGTTGTCTCCCACTGAGGCAGGGTGACCCAAAAAGAAAGAAAATCCCCAAAAAGAAAATACTTTCATCATCATTCAACACTTTCACCACACTCACACATTATCACTGTTTTTGCAGAGGTGCTCAGAATACAACAGTTTAGAAGCATGTGTGTATAAAGATACACAACATATCCTTCCAAACTGCCAAACTATTCAAAATATAGTACTTCAGGTACAGTAATCACTTAATGACAACACTTGACACTAAGATAGAAGTCTGATATGAATATACAAAGATAAACAAGTTAACTGGCAACATACTAATTAGTAAAGTGCTCACTCACCTGTACTCTGGTTTGCAGTAATGAGTGGTGAGTCTGACGGTTTTGAACATCTGCTGCAGTTAATGCATCCCGCAGTGATTTCTCAACATGGGCCATGGCTGCCATTTTGTATTCATACATTTCCATTATGTCTGTCAGAGCACACTCTTTCAGCTGAAAATTTTTTTTATTAGTTTCTCTCTCTCTCTTGGACTTGCTTCAAAACTCTTAGACTGAAGTTTGACTTTAGTATAAATGATACATTACTACTTCAAGAGCTACAATTTAGTTATTTTAAACCACCAGAATGTTTTTTTTTTTATTTACAAACATGACCAGTTGCATATCTTCTAGATAGACAAATGCTCTAATTTTAAACCATAAGTTACTTTTTTTGGGGTTATCCTAGGTAATTTACACTATGTATGATAACTGTACTTATGTGTATTTGTACCTAAATAAGCTTACTTATTTAGTTACTATATTTTTCCAATTATGTAATACAATCTTATGGTTGCCCAATTATAAAAGGTTTACTTGTGAGTGGAATCAAGTATTTTTCTACTCTTGTGGCATAGCCTAATTCCAAGCTTCCTTGGTGACTGTTTGACTAAAAATATTGCAGACTTCAATGTTTAAGTGCATATTTAAAACCTCACCTCCATTTTATCAACAGTGCCCCTTAACCTTGATATCATCATGTCCACATTCTCTTCACAGCCGGCAGAGAAAAGCTGCGCATGACACTGAGAACTGAAAAGTCTTTCCTTGTGATCACCATTGTCCATATTTACTGAAGGCTGAGATGAGGCATTAGCTTCCTCTGTTGCTTTTATTAATGCACCCATACTGAAAGATGATTGAATATTTTTATTATTTACTTCACACATGTAGATGGAAACAGTGTTATAGCACAGAACATTGCTCCTTATCCAGCATATTTTTATCCACAAATGACTTGTCCATGTATGTTTCTATCCACATCATTGTTGGCTGTCCTTGCCATAAGTCTATTTTTACTTCACATTTATGATATGCACATCTTTGCATAAAGTTGCTCATGCTAAGTGCATACTGGTAGAAGTTTCACTAAATATTTACTGGTACTCCTGTTCTACATTAATTATATTAATATCTAGCAACATAAATTATACACTTAATCTTTTTCAAAAATATAACATGAATATTTTTTTCTAGTCTACATTACTGCTTAAGTGATCAGTTTTTTTAAAGGTTCTACAATTACCTTTCAGTAGGCACAGTTCCCTCGGTTACAATGGTAACAGCTCTGGCCACAAGATCAGGGATGCTAGATCGCTCACATCGAACCAAATGGGTCATCAGTACTGGGTTATTAATCATCTAGTAGATAAAAGAGTACAGGAATTAAGTACTGAACTGTACAATCCCATCAGTAAACTTTTCCACTCTCATAATGAAGGTTTTGCACTCGAATAAAAAGGATGTACAATTACTGAGAAAATTAAAGCAAAAACATTTGCATTTTAAATAAACATGATATCATGGAGCACTCTGCTGCTTCCGTCACATGTAAACAAACCTGCTTTTTTGTTAAGCCAATAAAGTCTCTCTGGCATCCAGCATTTGCATACTCACTGCTATTTGTGTGTGAACATGAGGTGGTGGTGTAACATAAGACTAATAAGTTGTACTCTTAAATTAAAGAATGTATATCAGATAGTAATTTAGGCTAGGTCTGTTTAACAGTTAGTAATATAATAATATAAAGCAAACAAAATAATAAAACTGCCAATTTAAAGAAATTTGCATAATTAACAAATAACAGTACAGCAATATTAATATATTAGAGTGCACTGCAAAATTTCCATTACTGCAATACAGCAATAATAATCATATGTGCAACAGAAAAAAAGTCACAATTTACCTGGCTATACTCTAACATAAATGCTGCATTCTGTGAACCAAGAAGTTTGACCACTGTGAGAATAAGAATCACTGACTGTGAAACAGCCTCCATTAAGCTGGCACTCAGCATATTTCCTGAGATGATTGAGAGATCCTGGTAGGTCTTGTAACTGCATACAGAATATCTTTAGGAAAAATTAAGAGATTTATTACACATTAGCAAAAGAACCTGATGTTTCCCAAATAAATAATGAAACCAAAGGTTGGCAGCTATTGAGATCATTATTATTAAAATTACGGGACAGTGCTAAACCTGTAGGGATCATAATGCCTGAGGAATGGGAAGAAATAAGATGTGATCCTAGGAAGTGGAGGGTAGCTTCAATTCCTTGGATCAAAATACCTTCAGTGGCATCAAGGAATGAAGATCATTAGTACAATATATCTTAGATCAACATTATTTCTTGGATTGCAACATTTCAACTGATTTCTTATTTTTTACTTAATTTCTTATTTAGGAGTGGGGCCAAAATAGCCTGAAGTTTTGTCCAGCTAATTTGAAAGTCTAAATAAATAAGACTTGGAGTCTCAAAAACTAAAGTTATGGTTCATCAGATTGACACACAGTAAGCTAAAATGAAAGTTAACAATACCTTGAAAAAAGTGAAAAATATTTTTTCCTATGTCAGGTAACCTTGCCTTGGTGGAAGATGGCCGGTGTGAAAAAAGAAAAAACTTACCTGCTGGCATTTGACTCATAATCAGAGTAAGACTGAGCTAAGGAGTTTCCCAAAGGTAAAGAAGCTTCAATAATCAGAATTTTTCTCAAGAGAGATGAGAACACTGAAGGCTGTAACTGAACTGCTAACTTAAGGCGATAAGATGTTTCACGATTGCAGAGTCCTTCTAGCATTGCTAAGGTAGCAGTGATGCGGTGCAGTCGATTATGGGTTATGCTGACGTCCTCATCAAACATTAACGACTCCTGTAACAAATTTTGAGTCAACAGTAGAACTACAGGTCAGTATTATAAGCTATAAAATTACAGCTACAGGAAAACCAAATACTGTATAGCATAGTGTACTGAGAAAAGCATAAGAATTATTTTAATTTGAAATTTATTAGCTTGGTAAATAAATTACAAATTAACGACAAAGTATCAATGATTGTGAGCTCGGTACATACTGCAACAGCACCAATGAAGTTCTCAAGATGATCCAAGTTGACTGAATCATTCATTACAGTAATGAGGCTCTGTATAACTTTCACAGCTGCTACACCGCTCTGCTCTGAATTCATCCACATCATTGCCCTAATTAAGAACAATCTGTAATTAATTACAAGGTATACAAGATACACTTTTGTGAATAAAAATTAAGAATGCAAAGCCAATATTAGGTTTAAGAGGTAGTTGCACTAACTTTATACTGTACCTGTACAGTTAATGTGCTCCTCAAATTTGAGGGAGTTACATTCCTAGAGATTGTGACTCTAGAATCTGCAACATATACAACATCTTGGTTTAGAAAGACACGTAATCAAACACTATGACATATTTATTAGATAACGTTTCGGTCCTGGGACCGTGATCAAGGTCCCAGGACCGAAACATTTTCTAATAAATATGCCATAGTGTTTGCTTACGTGTCTTTCTAAACCAACTTGTCGGTATTTATTACCAAGGTTTATACCATACAACATCTTGCACATATACTAAAAAATTAAGATTTGGGTTCATTTTTATATTCCAGAAAGATGTCAAATAAAAATTCATGTAATTTTTTTTGGCAAAACTGAGCAATGGAACTTGCTTAAAATAGGACTCATAGTGGGTGAAATCTCTGATGCACAAATTGTATCCAGAACATAAACTTTGTGCCTATGTAATTTCATAAGTTTTTCATAAAATTCTGTATTTTTGGTGTCATTATCTTCAGAAAATTATTCTCTACCATTCCAAAATAATTAAAAAAAAAAAAAAAAAATCCCAACAGTGTCTTCACTTTTAATTCCAAGTGTCCCGACAGTAAGAGAGTAAAAGCTTGAGGCCAGTCAGTTATTGCATAAAAACCAAAACCAAAAAAATTTTTTTTTAACATGCTGGCTGTCTCCCACCGAGGCAGGGTGACCCAAAAAAGAAACACTTTCACCATCATTCACACTATCACTGTCTTGCCAGAGGCATACAGATACGACAGTTTATGTGTCCCTCTCAACAGCAAATATCCAAACCCCTCCTTTAGAGTGCAGGCACTGTACTTCCTCACCTGCAGGACTCGAGTCCTGTTGCACTGACCCCTTCCCTATTAACAATAAACCAGTGTTAAAAATCTGGAGCCAAAAAACTTACTAAAATAAACGATGCATTCTTTCAATCCCATAAAGATAACCTTTAAGGGATAACTAAAAAAATTTGAAGAGTATAACTTACTTAGAAAATATTTCATTGTAGAGTGGATGTAGTTCTGTATAGTCAAGCTCAATAAGGTAGCAAAAAAGATCCAGTAGTACTTCAACAAGTGGCTCTGGGCTCTCAGCAATCATACCATTGAGTAATGGTTGTAAATAAGAAGTGTAGCTTTTGTACCTGTGCCAAAATTCATCATTTCTTTATATGTAAAACTGCTTTTATTTCAGAAATTCTACCTTTAATACATGTAAAAAAAAATTTTAAAGTGGAGTGGTCAATTTTCAATCTTATTGATTTATTACTAAATGAAAGCAATGAAGTAGCCATCTACATATGTAGCTAACATCTAACAATAAATCACATTTAGATTTACAGCAAACCACGTTATAAGCTTACTCTCTCAGGTGGTCTTCTATAATTGGATATGACGTAAGTTCCCCAAATACGTCCGCAGCCAATCGAAGCCAAGATAGATTATTTTCCATTAAACCTTCAGTTGCTGCGGTGAAAACTAAATCCAAAATATGTTTAATCTGAGAATGAGAAAAAACAGATTAAGGAAATAAATAGCTGATATAATTGGCAAAAGCAATAAAATAAATATGCAAATGAGATAATTATACAGTGGTCTATAATTTACTCTTACAGTAGTCCAAAATTTTCTTTGGCATATTACTCATAGCTAATGAGGCATCATTGCAATAAATCTTGCTAATATTATTTAATGTATTAGAAATTTCCAACTGAAGAAAATGTCAATTTACTTACAAGGTTGAAACCGAGATCAGTAACTTTCAAGTCCAGGTAGAACATTAGCTCTGAAGCCAGCAACTTAATGTTGATTGTAGCTGTTTTCATGTCAGTCAGTTTCTGTACCAGGGCCTTAAAAATGATAACAGGTTCATTAATGTAACAAAGTTTGACCAAAGATTTCTACACTCTATACAGTATATGTTATTTCTGATGTAATTATTTCTATAAGGGTAACCTACCTACTATCTTAACAGTTTTCATTGATAATTAAGGTATATCACAGATGCAACACCCACTGATTCAAAGTAAAGATTCATGATTGCTAAAAAGAACAGACTTATGAAAAAACTATTTAATGACTTTCTGCCCAGTCAGGAACTTACACTGAGTCATAATTTTAATATGAGAAAGTCTAAGACTGAGCAAAACATTATTAGTCTTCTCCCATTTTGGAAAGTATTTTTCTTGTGTTGTCTTATCTGTTGGGTGAAGTCTATACCTACCTTTACTCTCACATCCTCTACCACAATATATTTCCAATACACATTCCAAAATCCTTCTATCAGTTTTAGCCCTAACAAGAAATCCTACAAAAGTATCCTTCACTTCATATACCAATCATTTCTGTGATCTGTCCCTGCAACCAGGACAATACTATCATATGCATGTTACACCATCCATTCTAAAATCATAAAACATTGTACCCAGAAACTTCGCAAAGCTGGGATAGTAAAACTTTGTGAAATGGCTACTCTAGCCTACACGGTAGTATAATCCGTTAACATGTATAGATACAGCTGGCATCTTGAGCATTCTACTCTGATCCCTCCATTATCCTGGGAGTTCCTTACTCCACATAAACACTCATCTTGTGTCTTGATTCTTATTTAATTGTATTTTGTATATTGTTCATCTCTACTGCTCTCATTTGTTTTAATTATCCAAACCTAAGAAAACTGGCATCATAAATATGGTACATATGACAACTGGGATCAATACCTTATGCTCATTACCAGTGCAGCCCACACTGAACTCTACATTTAAAAAGGATTTAAGTACCCCTCCCACACCCTGGTTACTCTTTATTTTTCATACACTGGCCATCTTCAATGGAGGTAGGATAACCCAACAAGAGGAAACATACTGACACATTCTGTTGCTGTCTAGCCAGAATCATGCTGTTTTAATACAACCCTTATAAAATATATTTAAACAAGATAAAAACTTACATATTTATGCACTTGCCCAGTGGAAAAGCATTCACTGACTGATTTCTCCATTTCTGAAAACCACTGGACAAGAGATACAAAATATATACATTACTGGAAATCACCTTGTTGTTTCCCATACTGCGAAGGCAAGAAAGAACTGGTGGGTTAGACCTGCAGAGGTTGGCAAGTGTGGTTAGAGATGGCACTAGGAGGTCATCACCACTGTTTCCCTCTGTGATGTGTTCCACCAGGTAAGGTACCAGCTTCAGCACCCATGCCTCTGTACGTAAAATCTGAATTTTTTTTGGGGGGGGTTATTGGGGAGTTCCAGAATAATTCTGCCAGTGCCTAACAGCCTATCATCTCTTATGTCTTCATATTTGATATTCAAGATTATCCTGTGTTCTTGATGACTGTGTATATGCATTTTTTTTTTTTTTTTTTTTTTTTTTTTTCAACAAGTCGGCCGTCTCCCACCGAGGCAGGGTGACCCAAAAAAGAAAGAAAATCCCCAAAAAGAAAATACTTTCATCATCATTCAACACTTTCACCACACTCGCACATTATCACTGTTTTTGCAGAGGTGCTCAGAATACAACAGTCTAGAAGCATAAACATATAAAGATACACAACATATCCCTCCAAACTGCCAATATCCCAAACCCCTCCTTTAAAGTGCAGGCATTGTACTTCCCATTTCCAGGGCTCAAGTCCGACTATATGAAAATAACCGGTTTCCCTGAATCCCTTCACTAAATATTACCCTGCTCACACTCCAACAGATCGTCAGGTCCCAAGTACCATTCGTCTCCATTCACTCCTATCTAACACCCTCACGCACGCTTGCTGGAAGTCCAAGCCCCTTACCCACAAAACCTCCTTATACCCCCTCTCTCCAACCCTTTCGAGGACGACCCCTACCCCGCCTTCCTTCCCCTATAGATTTATATGCTTTCCATGTCATTCTACTGTGATCCATTCTCTCTAAATGGACCAAACCACCTCAACAACCCCTCTTCTGCCCTCTGACTAATACTTTATTAACTCCACACCTTCTCCTAATTTCCACACTCCGAATTTTCTGCATAATATTTACACCACACATTGCCCTTAAACAGGACATCTCCGCTGCCTCCAACCGTCTCCCCCGCTGCTGCATTTACCACCCAAGCTTCACACCCATATAAGAGTGTTGGTACTACTATACTTTCATACATTCCCTTCTTTGCCTCATAGATAACGTTTTTTTGACTCCACATATACCTCAAAGCACCACTCACCTTTTTTCCTCATCAATTCTATGATTAACCTCATCCTTCATAAATCCATCCGCCGACACGTCAACTCCCAAGTATCTGAAAACATTCACTTCTTCCATACTCCTCCTCCCCAATTTGATATCCAATTTTTCTTTATCTAAATCATTTGACACCCTCATCACCTTACTCTTTTCTATGTTCACTTTCAACTTTCTACCTTTACACACATTCCCAAACTCATCCACTAACCTTTGCAATTTTTCTTTAGAATCTCCCATAAGCACAGTATCATCAGCAAAAAGTAACTGTGTCAATTCCCATTTTGAATTTGATTCCCCATAATTTAATCCCACCCCTCTCCCAAACACCCTAGCATTTACTTCCTTTACAACCCCATCTATAATATATTAAACAACCATGGTGACATTACACATCCCTGTCTAAGACCTACTTTTACCGGGAAGTAGTCTCCCTCTCTTCTACACACCCTAACCTGAGCCTCACTATCCTCATAAAAACTCTTTACAGCATTTAATAACTTACCACCTATTCCATATACTTGCAACATCTGCCACATTGCTCCTCTATCCACTCTATCATATGCCTTTTCTAAATCCATAAATGCAATAAAAACTTCCCTATCTTTATCTAAATACTGTTCACATATATGCTTCAATGTAAACACCTGATCTACACATCCCCTACCCACTCTAAAACCTCCTTGCTCATCCGCAATCCTACATTCTGTCTTACCTCTAATTCTTTCAATTATAACCCTACCGTACACTTTTCCTGGTATACTCAGTAAGCTTATTCCTCTATAATTTTTACAGTCTCTTTTGTCCCCTTTCCCTTTATAAAGGGACTATACATGCTCTCTGCCAATCCCTAGGTACCTTCCCCTCTTTCATACATTTATTAAACAAAAGTACCAACCACTCCAACACTATATCCCCCCCCTGCTTTTAACATTTCTGTCATGATCCCATCAGTTCCAGCTGCTTTACCCCCTTTCATTTTACGTAATGCCTCACGTACCTCCCCCACACTTACATTCTGCTCTTCTTCACTCCTAAAGATGGTATAACCTCCCTGACCAGTGCATGAAAATTACTGCCTCTGTTTCTTCCTTAACATTTAAAAGTTCCTCAAAATATTCTCGCCATCTACCCAATACCTCCATCTCCCCATCTACTAACTCCCCTACTCTCTGTTTTAACTGACAAATCCATATTTTTCCCTAGGCTTTTCTTAACTTGTTTAACTCACTCCAAAATTTTTTCTTATTTTCATTAAAATTTCTTGACAGTGCCTCTCCCACTCTATCATCTGCTCTCCTTTTGCACTCTCTCACCACTCTCTTTACCTTTCTTTTACTCTCCATATACTCTGCTCTTCTTATAACACTTCTGCTTTGTAAAAACCTCTCATAAGCTACCTTTTTCTCTTTTATCACACCCTTTACTTCATCATTCCACCAATCACTCCTCTTTCCTCCTGCCCCCACCCTCCTATAACCACAAACTTCTGCCCCACATTCTAATACTGCATTTTTAAAACTATTCCAACCCTCTTCAACCCCCCCACTACTCATCTTTGCACTAGCCCACCTTTCTGCCAATAGTCGCTTGTATCTCACCCGAACTTCCTCCTCCCTTAGTTTATACACTTTCACCTCCCTCTTACTTGTTGTTGCCACCTTCCTCTTTTCCCATCTACCTCTTACTCTAACTGTAGCTACAACTAAATAATGATCCGATATATCAGTTGCCCCTCTATAAACATGTACATCCTGGAGCCTACCCATCAACCTTTTATCCACCAATACATAATCTAATAAACTACTTTCATTACGTGCTACATCATACCTTGTATATTTATTTATCCTCTTTTTCATAAAATATGTATTACTTATTACCAAATTTCTTTCTACACATAGCTCAATTAAAGGCTCCCATTTACATTTACCCCTGGCACCCCAAATTTACCTACTACTCCCTCCATAACATTTTTACCCCACTTTAGCATTAAAATCCCCAACCACCATTACTCTCACACTTGATTCAAAACTCCCCACGCATTCACTCAACATTTCCCAAAATCTCTCTCTCTCCTCTACACTTCTCTCTTCTCCAGGTGCATACACGCTTATTATAACCCACTTTTCACATCCAATCTTTATTTTACTCCACATAATCCTTGAATTAATACATTTATAGTCCCTCTTTTCCTGCCATAGCTTATCCTCAACATTATTGCTACTCCTTCTTTAGCTCTAACTCTATTTGAAACCCCTGACCTAATCCCATTTATTCCTCTCCACTGAAACTCTCCCACCCCCTTCAGCTTTGTTTCACTTAAAGCCAGGACATCCAGCTTCTTCTCATTCATAACATCCACAATCATCTCTTTCTTATCATCTGCACAACATCCACGCACATTCAGACTTCCCACTTTGACAATTTTCTTCTTCTTATTCTTATTGACATGTATATGCATGTCAATCAGAAATACAGTATGTGTACTTAAATAGCTCAAACAAATAATGTGCATACATATATTTTTGGGATTCTGCTGAAACAAAAACATGCATACAAAGTTTCTTATATGCAATGGCAAACTTTAATAAATAATTACACAATAGATGTAAAAGTTTATTTCTACTGTTTTTATTATTTTTTCTTTCCCAATACAGCTATTTCATTTCCTCAAATAACAAATGACACAAGGATGCAAACAGATGAAGTTTATAGCAAAGTGAAATAAAAGAAATGAAAATATAATCTGAGTTAAAAAAAAAATACAGGTTAGCCATCACTAATCTGGCATCAGTGGGTCCTGCAGTGTGCCGGATTAGTGAGTTTGCCTGATTACAGAGTGGTTAAGTTAGAATACTACACTTAACCTATCAACAGAGAATCCTTCTGCTACATCTTCCTCATTTTCATCACTGCTTTCTCCTCCACTGGCTTGCTGCTGTGGATTTACAACCATCTGCACAATTTCTGAGTCAGTATAATGATGAAATTTGAAATTATGCTAGCTGAAATTAGTGCCGGATTACCGATGGAACTGGATAACTGATTGCCGGATTAGTGATGGCCAACCTGTAAATACCGAGGGAGGGAGACATGAAAGACAACTTATACACTAACCTTTAATTTGTAAGAAATCTCTTCAATGAGGTTCAAAGTCTTGAGCGACTTGTCTTTGCTAAGCTTTGACTCCACTAAAAAGTCGCTCAGTATGGGAACAAACTTGATATCATCTCTAAGAAAAATATATTAATACTGCATAACAGATACTGCATGACTTTTAAATCAAATTATTGCATAATAAAAATCATTCAAAATAACAGAGGAAAAAATTAAGAAAATTACAATAACTTCCATTTTCCTTTAAGTACACATGGGCCAAAACACAAATTACATAAGAAAAGTAGTGTTTGGGTAGAAGGCAGAGACTTATATGGAAAGATAGTTTTAATAATGGTTTGGGTCTCCAGGATATCATAAGCTTGACTAGTCCCAATGGAGGATGAAAACTTATAGAATTTATTTGCACAATCAGTACTTTACCTGAGTGAAGATACAGTGTTATCATCTTTAATAAGATTAATTTGTTTCTAGTGAAGTGTTATTCTATAATTTGCAAAAGTATTTTCCAAATGTTTTTTTATTCTTCAGTGTTGCTACATTTGTTAAAGCAGCAGACTACTAGTTTGATCAGATTACAAAATCTGAGTGATGCCGAGTATATTTTTAACAACCAGATACAGTACATTAATCACCTTTTATGACATGTATAGCTTATGGAGGAAGGATTCTTTTCCACTTCCCCATGGAGATGAAAGGAAAAATAAATAAAAAAACTATTAATTAAACATTATATGCTATATGAAGTAGTTGAGATGATGGTACAGTTGTAAGTGCTTCAGTTATTAACATAACCTTTTAAGGACTGTAAGCATATCTAATTACACTATAGCAAATAATGACTAAGGGAACTAAATTCATTAATCAGAAATTCAATTCTATTCATTAGAATAGAAGCTGAGCTTGCATCAAACATCTTCAATGAATAAACTCGGTTCAGTGGCCACAGCTCCTCTGACAAGATACTGAACAATTATATTTATCATTATGAACATTTGAGATATAACTAAAGGTAAGAATAATTGTATACCAGTACACACTATTTTTTTTTCTTTCAACACATTGGCCATCTCCCACCGTATCACTGCATTAATAATTTGGATTGTGTAGTAAAATTGGTTCCCTTAATGTTTGCATAAATTAGATTTAATGGACTAACAGAGGAGAGTGTAAGGCTAGTAATGGGAACTGTGAGCAAAATTCTTTAATCAATGAACAATGTTTGTAGTCTCTGAATCGAGAGACCCAGTGGATTTTGCCCCATATTTTTGAAGTCTTGGAATCTTTCCTCCATAAGTCATACGTGTCATAAAAGGCGAATAAAATGCAGGGACCAAGGGACTGGTAACCCCTTCTCTTATACAAATTACTAAATGTAAAAAAAAAAAATGTTTTTCTTTTTGGGATCACCCTGCCATGGTGGGGGATGACCAGTGCGTTAAAAAAAATTCTGACGTCTGCAAAGTCAAGGTCCATTAAATTGAAGATTTACTGAATATTATTCTAAACAAGAAGAGCAGTTCTTCAACATTTAGAACATTAATTATTTGACCAATTCACAACTGATCAAGCACCCAAATTATACACACAAGTAGTCAGTTTCATTAGCTAAAAATAAACTGAACTACTAAAGTGGAAAAATCCAGTTACTATTCCTATTAAAAATTACTAATTTAACAAATTGGTCTTTTGATCTAATTAGAAAAAATTATTTAGATAAGGGTATAATTCTGTACACTTTCATATTAACAGTATAATAAATTTGTCATTTAAGAAAAACAATAATTTTAGTAATAAATAAGTCACTTTAATGAAGCATGGAAACTTCATAAATGATAAAGTTTCAAATGGGTTTCAGGCTTACCAACCAGGTAAACAATGTAATTTATCAGCTTACAGATTACATTAAAGGGCATTATTTATTCAGTATTCACATATCATTCCAGGATAGGTTTTGGACTACATACTATAACATTTTACACATCTCACGATTCCAAAAATCTGTGCACTTTTATTTAACTATGAAATGAATGACTTGCATGCAGTGTGCTAAATTTTTTTGCCCATCTTTATCAGGCTGGGTAATAATCATAAATAGCTAATAAAAAATTACATCAAAAGGTTAAAATTAAACCTCTTCATCAGTCTCACCTGAGCGCCGTTCGGATTGATGGGGAATGGCAAATGTGAATGAGAAGTGCAATGACCTTCCATACCACTGGTGACTTGGCATCTAATGGGTTAAGAAACTGCTCCAGGCATACATAAAATTCCAGAGTCTCCACATTTGTTGGCTCAAATATACTCAAGTCATTCACCACTGACAGGATCTGCAAGTTGACCATCATGTAAAAATTCCAGAGGTGATATTCACTGTTAACAGATAAGAGGACTAAAACACATTCTATTATTCAAACAAAAATTTGTGAACATTGTTAAAAAAAAGTTATGTACTGTATATGCATTTTTTAGGCCTAGCTCTACTGCTCACTTAATATATGATAGTGTAAACATGTTACCAGGCTTTTATATGCATTTGAAAGTGAAATAAGCGAATTTCACTTTACAGCAGTAACCCGGAACCTAACCTGCTGTATAAGTGGGGCTTGCCTATAGTACTAATTTATCATTAGTGATACAGTACAGCATTCTTAACTAAATAACTATGTACATAAATAAATATACTACATTCATTATTGCATTATTTGTAAATGAAGTTAAAGGATATACAGTGGACCCCGGTTAACGATATTTTTCACTCCAGAAGTATGTTCAGGTGCCAGTACTGACCGAATTTGTTCCCATAAGGAATATTGTGAAGTAGATTAGTCCATTTCAGACCCCCAAACATAAACGCACAAACGCACTTACATAATTGGTCGCATTCGGAGGTGATCGTTATGCGGGGGTCCACTGTATATACATATGATATACAGCATTAATTTCTCCACATATACAATGCATATTTATCCTCTTAGCTTACCTGAAGGTGACGCTGAAGTTGAATGAGATTTTTGTCAGTCTTGCTTCGACGATAGTCATATGCAATGCTGATGAAGTTCTTAATTTGTGGATTGGAACTCCCCATATTGTTGGATCTGGAACACAAATTATAAAATTACTACATTCATGGAGGAGAGGGAAGCACTAAACCCATAGGGGTCATACTGCACCTGGAGGATGGGAGGTAATCAAGTTCAAGGAAAGGACAGATAGGTCCATTTCATTGGATCAAGAGCCCTTCACTAGCATCAAGACATCTCCCTTAATGGGACAGTAATAAGTAACAGAATAAACCACAGAAATCACGCCAGGCGAGCCCCACAACTCACAGGCCAGTGCGTTAACCACTGAAGTGAGAGGTCACTAATCAATTTAAATAGTATACAGTAGTTTATTATCCTTATTATATTTCTAGGCTTACCATTCGTGTATCTAATGTTCGCACTCTGTATGTTGGAATCAGCATGTGGCTAGACAGGTTAAGTAAGTGCCATGTTTTTACACACAATGCCCTGAAAATTATAGCAGATACTATTCTCACTAGTAACTAATGCATGAAGAAATTGTAATATCTTCCTATTAATGGTTAAAAACACAAAATACAATATTAAAGCAGTATAAAACCTAAAGCAAAGTGAAATCAGAACACAGGTACAGAACTTTGTTAAGTTCATCTTCAATAAAATTATGGAAATATGATCAAGAGGCACATGGGAACCTACCTTGAGAGGCCAGTTAAATAAAGCAATGCAAGTTATTACCATTAGGAAAGAGCTAAACCTACAAGTGTCATAGTGTTTGGGGAATGGGAAGTAATCAGGTTTGATCCACGGAACCTTCAATTTCTTAGATCAAGAGTTCTCCACTAGCATCAAGGCTCATGTGTTCACTTGTTGTTTTGGTGACAATCCGAGTAATGTTAACAGCTTCCACTAACTGCATGACCAATAATGTGACCATTATATATACTTATGGGGAGTGTTATACCTGTAGGGGTCATGCAGAGCTCCATACGAGCGGTTTCGAGCACCCAATACACTAATTATGAAAATGGTATACAAGACCTACAAGCAAGACGTATGTGCAACACTTAGTCCTAGCCTCCTGCGATGTCTTCAAGACTCTTCATGTCTCACCTTTGTCAGTATATAAAGTCTATTCTCATGCTTCAGCTTCACATACTGGAAGAAATTAATTTGAATTTTTCGAGGGGTGGATGGGTAACCCAGGGAAAAGTCTCAGTCATATGACCAAAAGCTCCAGCTGTAGGTAAGTAAGTTTATTGAGGTATACATAATTTCATAGATTATCATACAGAGCAGTATATGTGTAGGGACCAAGGATAACCCAAAAAAGTCAGTCAGAGTAACTTATTTCTATTGTGGTCCTTGTGATTATTATTTATATTTAGAAGTTAAAAATAGGTAAGTATCTTGACTATAAGTAAGTAAGTAAGTAAGTTTATTCAGGTATACACAAATACAGTTACATAGAATTATCATACATAGCAGCATATGTGTAGAGAACCTAGGATAACCCAAAAAAGTCTATAAAGACTATATAAAAGCAGTTACATTAATAGAAGATATACCAGTGGGAGAGGTAAAATCAGTTATTTTCATACAATAAATCACTCTCCTTCCTTCCTGTAGCCTTATCCATGAGGTACATTTTAGCTGTCTTCTTGAAGTGGCTCAAGCAAAGACAGGTCTTGACATGTGCAGGGAGTCTATTCCAGTAAGACTAAGACACACGTCAGGAAACACTCGTCATGTTTCCTGACTGGTCTTACCTAAGCTAACTGTCAGCTCTTGTTCCAGGCTATGGAGCTGAACTCTTCACCAGGCTGGAGGACTGACCACCTAGAGAATTAATCATAAGACTTAAAAGTTACCTAAAAACTAGACACAGACTATTAGTAATCACATCAATAGTTTTTTTATTTCTTCATGCAGTACAAATAAGATAATTTACATGAATTAATACATTGGGCAGGCATAAAAGAAAACCACCATTATACAATGTATTTATGGCAACTAATCATAAGACTTAAAAGTTACCTAAAAACTAGACATAGACTATTAATTAGGACTTCTTATGCAGTTAACTACAATAATGAGAGTAAATGGTTGAGAAAAGCAACAAGATGATAATTGATCCACTTGTTCAACATTTGGGTATCTTGAAAACTTTTCCAGGTCCTACCAGGTGATGGACCTGGTAGGACCTGCCTACTATAACCCAGTAGACCTCCTGCAGTGCTCCTTCCTGCTTATATCTCATAACCTGCACCTCGACACTACTGTTGTAAGTTTAGACACAGGTATAAAAGTACAATTACATGTATTGTGTAAATTACCTACAAACTCCCCCTCCCTCCCCCAAACAAGTCTCCAAAATAATTTTCCTGTATATTCCACTGAAGAAGCTTATGGTGAGGGCGAAACATTTCAAGAATAAAGCTGACCAAGTGTCACACACTCCACTTACTACAATAATAAATCCCTCACTCCACTTACTACAATAATAAATCCCTCACTCCACTTACTACAATAATAAATCCCTCACTCTACTTACTACAATAATAAATCCCTCACTCTACTTACTACAATAATAAATCCCTCACTCCACTTACTACAATAATAAATCCCTCACTCCACTTACTACAATAATAAATCCCTCACTCCACTTACTACAATAATAAATCCCTCAGGTCACACTCGTCCTCAATATTTTAAACTGAAGCGGCGCAACAGTTCGCCAGATAATCCGAGGAAATCCATGTTAATCCATGAACATAATCTTGGACTTGAACTTGAGATAACAAAAGTTAACATTAATAATGGCTTGACCAAGCAAGAAAAACATTTTTCTAGTGGGTTTGGGATTGACAAAAACTGCCCAGTATGGGCCAGTAGGCCTACTGCAGTGTTCCTCCTTTCTTACCGTTTTTATGTTCTTATGACTGTTCTTTTAGGAATATATATATATATATATATATATATATATATATATATATATATATATATATATATATATATATATATATATATATATATATATATATATATATATATATACATACATATACATGACCTTACACAGGTAATGACACGGGGACAGGAAATGGGTCTCATCCTGAATCCATCCAAATGTGAAATCATCTCAGTCAGTCAACAAGTGATAAATGCAGTGAGATCAAAACTACCAGGAGCAGCAGTCATTGCCCCCACAAATAGTGTCTTGCTAGGAGCACCTCTGGGAAGCAATGCCATTGACACAATTCTCAGGAAGAAATTGGAAGAGTTAAGGAGAATGGAACAACGAATAGGCAATCTGGACACCCACGATGCCTTGTACCTTCTCACAAAGTGCTTGAGTCTGCCCAGGTTGACATATTTCCTAAGATGTGCACCTTCATATGATAACCCTATACTGCACGAATATGACAGTATTCTGAGGCAGATTTTTACGAAAGTACTTAACCTTACTCTAGAAGACGGCAGTGGAACCAAGCTACACTTCCAGTCAGACTAGGAGGCATTGGTGTCCGCAAGTCATCACAGATTGCGTTACCTGCTTTTCTGTCCTCGTGTATTGCATCCAGAGAGCTTGTAGCAGCGATTCTCCCTGAACATCTTAGGGACAAGATTGGAGCCCAGGACCAAAAATTCCTTGACGAGCAATGATCGGGGAAAATCTAAGGGGCTCAGAAACCAGACCTGCTCCCCCCAACAACTACAAACAATCGCACTGGGATGGTCCAATAGTGGAAAATATAGCCTCAACGATGCTTCAGAGTGTGTCAGGGAAGGATAGAGCCCGCCTGCTGGCAGTGAGAGCCCCTCATGCGGGGGACTTTCTGTTGGCTTTTCCCAACTCCAGCCTTGGCACACGCCTCGACCCACAGACCATCCGCATCGGTGTTGCCCTTCGACTTGCCGCCCCTATTCTCGCCGAACACAGGTGTATTTGTGGCAGTGAAGCAGCAGACCGATTCGGGTACCATGGTCTTGTGTGCCGTAAATCCGAGGGAAAGATTGCAAGACATGAGGAGGTTAATAACATTATCAAGAGGAGCCTCACAACAGCTGGATGCCCAGCAGTAAGGGAGCCACCCCAACTATGCAGATCTGATGGCAGCCAGAAGCGCCCAGATGGTATCACCCTTCAAGCCTGGACAGATGGGAAGCAGGTGGTGTGGGACTATACATGTGCATCTACCTTGGCTGATACCTATCTCCAATACACCAGGGAGGAAGGGGGGGCAGCTGCCAGCTTTAGGGAGTCCCAAAAGTCTAGAAAATATGGAGAACTTGCCCATCATTATATGTTTGTTCCCATAGGCTCAGAGACCCTTGGCTCATGGGGAAAGAGTGCATCTAATTTCCTTAAGGAGCTGGGAAAAAGACTCATCAGGGTAACTAGGGATCCCAGGGCAGCTAGTTTTCTGTTCCAGCGGCTCAGTGCGGCTGTTCAAAGGGGTAATGCATGCTGCATTTTGGGCACGCGCCCCAGCTCTGAGGAGCTGGATGAGATTTTCGCCTTATAATCGGTGATACACACGTAAACAACATGTACCGTATATGCCACCTTTATATCAACAATGTATCTCTTAAATCTTCTGTGCCATATTATGTAATAAAATATTCCTATTGGTAAAAAAAAAATAGTTTAAAAGATGGGGTGGTAGGGAAGTGGAATATTCAAATGGCTTCAGGAAGAAATCCAAATATTCTTCCTTGAAGCCTTTTTATCCACTTCTCCGAGGCTATGGTCCCACAATTTACACCAGAGGTGGACCCCATCATATATATATATATATATATATATATATATATATATATATATTTTATATATATATATATATATAATATATATATATATATATATATATATATATATAATATATACATACATATATTATATATTTATATATATATATATATATATATATATTTTATATATATATATATAATATATATATATATATATATATATATATATATATACATTATTAATTTCGTAATAAGTCAAGGAACGTAATGTAACTAAGTCACTTTGACTTTTTTGGGTTATCCTGGGTAATTATCACTTATGTTGCTTTGTACGATAATTTATATAACCTTATTTATGTACTCACCTAGTTATGGTTGCAGGGGTCAAGTCCTAGCTCCTGGCCCCGCCTCTTCACTGGTCGCTGCTGGGTCACTCTTCCTGCTCCATGAGTTTTATCATACCTCTTCTTAAAGCTATGTATTTATGTGTACCTGTACCTGAATAAACTTACTAGAGGACCCCTTATGGATGCGTCATTTACAATTCAAAGTGAAGCGGTAGACCCGTGTGGGGTGATGCAGCTGGCTGTACTGGCCTAACTGGTTGCAGGGGGTCGAGTCACAGCGTCAGTTATGACGTAGTAGTGGTGGACACTGCCTGGCACTGACAGGCTCCACACTGGCACTGTCTACTACCATACTTCCCTCACTGTCTGCCCAACTCCACGTACTTGTTATTTTACTTAAATATAAGTTTTAGTTACGATGTTGAGAGGAATTATTGTTTTATGTTTGTTGGCGGGACTACCCATCAGCCTGTGTGTCTCCCCTCCCCCCCCTGGTGGTGGTGACCCCAGTGGTGACCCCCCTGGTGGTGGTGACCCCAGTGGTCACCCTAGTGGTGGTGACCTTATAGGTAACCCTGGTGATGGTGACCCCATAAGTAACGGCCCTAGTGGTGACCCCATAGCTGACAATCTCACTGATGGTGACCCCATAGGTAACCCTAGTGATGGTGACCCCATAGGTAACAACCCCATTCATAGTGACCCCATAGCTGACGACCACATTGATGGTGACTCCATAGCCGATGACCCCACAAGTGAGGTTGGCAGCGACGACCCAACTAGTGTATTCAGAGGTGAGTATGTGTGCCTCTCAGACCATATACATCCCTGTATAAATTCCTAATGATTATAATAACCATAATTTTTAAAGGGGCGGAAGGCCTCGGTCAGATGACCAAAAGCACCAGCTGCGGGTCATCATATAACTAAGACCCACGTCAGGAAACACTTGGCCCGGTGGCCTGGTAGCTAAAGCCCCCGCTTCACACACGGAGGGCCCGGGTTCGATTCCCGGCGGGTGGAAACATTTCGACATGTTTCCTTACATCTATTGTCCTGTTCACCTAGCAGCAAATAGGTACCTGGGTGTTAGTCGACTGGTGTGGGTCGCATCCTGGGGGACAAGATTAAGGACCCCAATGGAAATAAGTTAGACAGTCCTCGATGACGCACTGACTTTCTTGGGTTATCCTGGGTGGCTAACCCTCCGGGGTTAAAAATCCGAACGAAATCTTATCTTATCTTATCGTATCTTGTCCTGTTTCCTGACAAACCTTACCTAACCTAACCTGTGTTTCACATATTATTTTCTTAAAACCTTGCAGTACCTCAGTTTAAGAATATTCTACATCTGCATCAACTAAATACCTGGCATTAGTTATTTTAGGTTAATTAAGATTATCTAAGTACAGGTATACATCAGCACAATTATCACACATAGTTTAACATTACACAAATAACCCACACATAAGAGAGAGAAGTTTATGACGTTTTGGTTCGACTTGGTTGTATTTTGTGCTTATGTTGAAAACCATTCCTTGAAAGGCAAAAAAAATAACCTGACGTAGCCTAACTTAATGTAACCTAGTTTTAGAGGTAAATTCTAGGTTAAGATAAGATTTACACAGAGGATTAGCCACCCAGGATAACCCAAGGAAGTCAATACATCATCAAGGACTTTTTCTGATTTCCATTGGGGTCCTTCAGTCTTGTCCAGCAGGATGTGATTTACACCAGTTGACTAACACTCATGCACCTGCTTACTGCTAGATGAACAGGGACAGCAGGTGTAAAAAGAATATGCCCAGCCACTTGGTGTGTGAGGCGAGAGCATTGGGTTATGTTCACTTTCGAGTTACCAAAAAAAAAAAAAAAAAAAAAAAATTCTCAAAAGGCCCCAAAGCATAACTGTCTCCATTGTATAAACCACCTTATATTGAAGAATTTATATAATAAAAATCTCTCTCCCCCAAACTCAGTATTATCTGTTGATCAACACCTGGGAGTTGACTGTTCCAGGTCATATTTTATAATAATAATAATAATAATCTTTATTTCTACAAGTACATGATACAATTTATACAAGTCCTAGTTGACATCAGTGGCATATTATATAGAAAGCCCCTTTTTATGCAGAGCATTTCAGGCAAATAAAGTTAATTTTGGCCCCAGGATATGACACACCAGTCGACTAACACCCAGATACCTATTTACTGCTAGGTGAACAGGAACAGCAGGTGTCTTAAGGAAACACCCCCAATGTTTCCACCCGTACCGGGGATTAAACCACGGACCTCAGTGTGTGAGCTGAGTGTGCTACCAACTGAGCTACAGGATACTTGGGAAAAACACCCCTTTAGGACTCTAATGGGAACAAACCACACTAAATATTTTGAAGGAGGGGTGTTAATGTTGCAGTAATATAACTGTAGTGAGGCCTGGTCACAGACCGGGCCGCGGGGGCGTTGACGCCCGGAACTCTCTCCAGGTAAACTCCAGGTAAGTGCGCCTCTGGCAAAACAGTGATGGAGTGAATGATTTATTTATTTATTTATTTATTTATTTATAATTTGAGCACACTTACAGAGGTACAAAAAAAAATACAGATAAGAGCAGCATGCCAAAGCCACTTATACTATGCATAGCATTACGGGCTGGCTTAAAATTAACTTAAGATTAACTAAGCAATGATGAAATCAGTGAAAAACATTAATGTAAACTGATTACTATAAAGCACAAGTGAGTATTACAAAGACAGGTCATATGGTTGCATGCATTGTTGTAAATTCAGTAGAATGGAGTATTCTGTTAGGTAGTGAATTTAAAAAATAATAAAGTTAGATTGGGTTTTAGGTTTAACATTTATGTGATATAATTGTGAGAAACATTTAAGATATACAATTTATAAGGTTCAGTTATTCAGTATTTATTTGGTTTTGGGTGAGTAAGTGATCTTTGAGAAGGACTTGAATTTATAAACAGGTAGTGTTTCTTTTATATTTACAGGTAATGAATTCCAGATTTTAGGGCCTTTTATGTGCATTGAGTTTTTGCATAGCGTGAGATGGACACGAGGAATATCAAAGAGTGATCTGTGCCTTGTGTTATGGTCATGTGTTCTGTTGAGGTTGGCAAGGAGATGTTTGAGGGGAGGGTTAATATCAGAGTTGAGTGTTCTATGTATGTAATAGGTGCAGTAATAAGTATGGATGTTTTGTATGGTGAGTAGGTTGAGTGTATTGAATATTGGTGGAGTGTGCTGCCTGTAGTGAGAATTTGTTATCATTCTAACTGCAGCCTTTTGTTGGGTAATTAGTGGTCTGAGATGGTTACTTGTTGTTGAGCCCCATGCACAAATTCCATAGGTGAGATAGGGGTAAATAAGAGAGTGATATAGGGCCAGGAGGGCTGACTGTGGAGCATAGTACCGTATCTTCGATAGTATGCCTACAGTCTTGGAAAGTTTTTCTTTTTCGGGTCACCCTACCTTGGTGGGAATCGGCCGGTGTTAATAAAATAAAAAATAAATATTTTGAATTGTCCTGAGTCTTTAACCCACTGGAGTTAATAAGTACAAAAAAAAGTATATATCTTTTATAGACTGCATGAGGGCCATTAGGACAAAAATTCACCTGTACATACAATACAGGAACATCAATTAAGTTTTTAATTCCTAAATTAGGTATTAAAGTATACTCAGTGTATACACACTGAGAAACACAAACACCCCAATGTATGAAGATAAATGGTTAGGACCGACATGTTGATGAATTAGACACATGTGCAACACTTGGGTATCTTTATTGAGTAAAATGTTTTGCCACACAGTGGCTTCATCAGTCCTATAGAAAGGACTGATGAAGCCACTGTGTGGCGAAACGTTTCCTCAGTAAAGATACCCAAGTGTTGCACATGTGTCTAATTCACCCCAATGTATATCCCATAGAAGAAATGGGTTCCAATTTAATTATTTGCTTCACAGGTACTTTCTGGCAGATTACAGACATTCATTGGGATCAGCAGTATAGTGTATATGGAGATGCCAACAAAATGTGCCACAAAAGCTACACATCTACAAAACACAATGGGGTTTATGGCAATTATCTGTGTGATTCTCCTTGGCTACTAGTCAAGAGTGCCATAGATGCTATGAAGGAGATTAATAATAAACCGGATTTTATTTTATGGACAGGGTAAGTTAGCATTTTTGTTAATTTTGGACTTCTATCCAAGCTGTGACCTCCTTGTAAATCACAGTATTATTATTTAATTGTAGATGTATGTACGTATTATGAAACACAGTGCAAGTATATTTTAAGCTTAAATCACCTGCTGTTTTTCCTCAAGTTATAGTAGAGTATTTTGAAACTAAAAAGAGTAAAATTATATTTTTTATATAGGATGAAATTTTGTATGCTACAGGTACCAAGCAAGATATTTTTATATAAAAATATACTTTGGAAATATTTATCCCATGCTACAAAAAAATTCTTCCTTGTTCAAGTCAGTAAGATTAAGCTGCTTTTGTAGCAAATTAAATGATTACAGTATATAATTATATGAATTTGTTATTGTATTGCAGGGATAATGTACCTCATACTGATGATCCAGAACCAGACTTTACAGTAATATTCAACACAATAAGTAATATTACTGAGGAGCTGCGGTCTACATTTCAGGATTCCATTCCAATCCTTCCAGTTCTGGGCAACCACGATGCATTCCCCAAGGTTGGTTAAAATTGTACATTATGGTACCACATAAAATTTTTTTGTGATTTACTAGAATTTTCCTTAAATGTTCTCAGAGTACTAATATTGTTTTAAGGAGAGACGTGTATTTATAGGTACTGCATATGTAGCATGGCAAAATATCATGAACTTCGTATTATTTAACTATGAATGTCAGTAATGTAATGAATGAATATGAATTCTGTGATGACTGGCAGTGTAGAATCATTTGGTGATGCAAGTTAATGTTTTTTGGCAAATTTGTTTACTGTACTTTTGTACAAAAATTGTTTTTAAATATCTGATTGTGCCATATATGAAAAGACAGTTACAGGACTACTGTAGATAAAATTACCTATTATTATACCACATTTTGCTAAAACATGTCATTAAACTTTGAATAATTTTTCAAATTTTCAGCATTTAAAGAAAGATTGTTTTTGTATACAATATTTTCTACAGATTTAGAGTAATGTATTATTTATATTTCCAGTTTATTAGCAGTACAATGAAACTTTTCATCACACATAGAAAAATAAATGTAAAGACTTAACAGTTTGATTACATTTTCAGTACACAGTGGTACCTCAGGATACAAACTTATTTTGTTCCAGAAGGCTGTTCGAGTACTGATACCGAACGAATTTGTTCCCATAAGGAATAATGTAAATTAGATTAATCCATTTCAGACCCCCAAAAATACACTTACAAAAGCATTTATATAAATACACTTACATAATTAGGAAATTAGGAGGTGTGGAGTTAATAAAAGCATTAGTCAGAGGGCAGAAGAGGGGTTGTTGAGGTGGTTTGGCCATTTAGAGAGAATGGATCAAAGTAGAATGACATGGAAAGCATATAAATCTATAGGGGAAGGAAAGAGGGGTAGGGGTCGTCCTCGAAAGGGTTGGAAAGAGGGGGTAAAGGAGGTTTTGTGGGCGAGGGGCTTGGACTTCCAGCAAGCGTGCATGACCGTGTTAGATAGGAGTGAATGGAGACGAATGATACTTGGGACCTGACGATCTGTTGGAGTGTGAGCAGGGTAATATTTAGTGAAGGGATTCAGGGAAACCGGTTATTTTCATATAGTCGGACTTGAGTCCTGGAAATGGGAAGTACAATGCCTGCACTTTAAAGGAGGAGTTTGGGATATTGGCAGTTTGGAGGGATATGTTGTGTATCTTTATACGTATATGCTTCTAAACTGTTGTATTCTGAGCACCTCTGCAAAAGCAGTGATAATGTGTGAGTGTGGTGAAAGTGTTGAATGATGATGAAAGTATTTTCTTTTTGGGGATTTTCTTTTTTGGGTCACCCTGCCTCGGTGGGAGACGACCGACTTGTTGAAAAAAAAAAAAAAAAAAACTTACATAATTGTTCGCATTTTGAGTTGTTCATATCTCAAGGTACCACTGTATTGCCATGCCAGAGTAATAATACCAATCTTCTCAAATTTGAATGTGTTGAGAAGGGTAGTTTTGTTTTTGAATGTGCTCTAAACTAGTTTTAGCTCTGTTTTAACTGACTTGTTTGAAAAATCTAATTGCACATAGTGGCCAGCTTAACCCTTACTACAAGCTTAGCTTATAAAATTGTTAATGTACTGATAAAATACAGTGCATATTGTAATTGAAAAGCTTCTACATAGCGAAGATACAGTATACAGCGGTACAGACTGTGGGGGTCCTCATACCTCCCAGATCACACTTAGTAAGATTGGCCACTTCCTTGAGAAGCAAGTAATACAGTTGTGAGGAATATGATGGAGCCATATCTTGGCAAGGAGCATAAATTATTCAGATAATTGTTGCACAATGCAGAAATATGCAAGTTAGTGAGAGACATTTGAGTTACTTAACAAGCCCTGATCATTACCTATTAAAGTTCATATTTCTTTTCAGTGCGTGTTTGCATGGTTCACATCATGGTTCACTTCACTTTTTTGTTTGCATGGTTGCTTACTGTGAAGGATCAATTCTCGGTAATAATGCAGTAATTATGATTTTATTATTATTGCTATCACCCTGTTATTATTATTTTATAATTTGTATCAAAATGACGTGCATCTCATAATGATTTTTTTCTTACAGTATTTAAGTGTATATTACATTTCTCAGGATTATTATCCAGTTGCTGGAGAAGAATTTTATGGTCAGTATTTAACAAGGGGAGGTTGGTCATCCATTCTGCCAGAGACTGCACAAGAAGAGTTCAAGCTAGGAGGTTACTATGGATATGAACTTCCTATAGGTGTCACTGTAGGTATATTATGTTTGACTTTTCTGGCTGCTGTATATGTTCTGTCTAGGCTAAATGCACTTACTAAGAAGTGCATCTACAGGACTGCTGGCAAATATTTAATGAAAAATATCTTAGAAATTTTAGAAAAGTTGATTATGCTTTCATTTTATTCATCACACATTTCTTTACACTTTTCAGAAAAATTACTAAGTGTGAATGATAATGTTAAAAATCTTTGGGAGATCTAGGATATTTTTTTTTAAGTTATTTATTTTCAGAACATTGTACAGTATATAATCATAGCACAGCACTGCATACGTTTTTTCATTGGCTGTACAGTGAGGATGTTTTTCTCATTAATATTAACGGTTGAGCTGTAGGAGTCATGTTGATTTCTTTTCTGAATTGTCAGGGGTTATTGACATAAAATAAGGTTGGAAAAAAAAAGTATTGGAATACTATGGAATACAGTATTTAATGCAAACCAACTGCTTTGTATAGTTTTAAAGCAGTTGGTAACATTTAACATTAAAATTATAATTATTGTATTTTTAGATATGCCCTTTAATTTGCTAAAATGCAACTATATAGCCTCTAATAAATGATATATAAATATTGATACTGTAGTGTACTATGTAAGAATAACATTATATAGTTTTCAGTATAGAATGTCATGGAACATATTATTATTATTATTATTATTATTACATTCATGGGGAGCACCAAACCCATAGAGATCATACAGCTCCTAGGGGAATGGGGGGTCCAAGGAGAGGGGGACTAAATCCAGTTCCTTGGATTAAGAGCCCATTACCATCATTAAGGCACCTCTGTTGGGCGGTCATGTTAAAAGTTAGTTTTGAATAGCATTATGGAAGTTTAATTGTGGAGTTATTGTTGCTCTGTTGCAGGTGTTAGTGCTGAACACAAACCTCTATTATGCCAATAATGCACTGGGTGTGAATGCAAGTGACCCGTGTGGACAATTCAAGTGGTTGAAGACCAGGCTAGAGAGAGCTCAAGAACACAAGTCTTTGGTTTGTTTTGCATCTTTTCTATCTGCATTGAAATTGTATTTGCTTAACAGTCATTGTAATTTTTAAGTCTGTATCCCTTGGTAATTTAATTTTCTGTAATTTAAAGTACAGTATAGTAGAGTACATTGATAATAGTTTTCTCGTATTTTAATATTCATGTTTGTATTGAACTATAACATGAAAAATTATTTAAATCTTCAACAGTTAGTCTTTGTCATATCCTGTAAAACAATGTTGAAAGAAGAGGAGGCCAAGAGATGCCATGATGGCTTTAGTTTTGTTTATAATTACAAGAAGGCCCCACTTATACAGCAGGTTAGGTTCCAGGCTACTGCTGTAAAGCAAAAATCACTGCAAAGTGAATCATAGCCTTTTTTCTCTTTCAGATGCATATAAAAATAAAGTAAGAGATAGGCAAGCTAATGTATTGTATTATGTGCATAGTAATCTTTATTTTTCTAGATGTGTTTACCATATTTTTTTTTCTTCTTCTTTCTTTCTTTCTTTCAAAAAATCTTTCTCTTCATACATTTCTTTCACTGGAGCTAATTATACTTGATTGTACAATTTAAACATTTTACTACAAAAATGAAGATGGTTATTAGGTTGTCTTTTGCAGGTGATAATTGCTGCGCATGCTCCTCCTGGTTATTTTGAAAGATTTGCCGAAGTGCCATTTTTTAATGCTACGTACAATGATGCGTATGTTGATCTCCTGAATGAATTCGGCATGATAATTATGGCTCAGATATATGGTCATGAGCACACAGACAGCTTCAGGTTGTTCCAGACTGCTAAAGGTGAGCACACATTTATGCTGTTGTACTTGTTCTCAGACATACTGATTATTCATTTTAATCATAGGGAAGCACTAAAGTAGTAGGGATCATACAGTGCCTGAGAGGCTTCAGGGTCGATCCAAAGAAGGGTGAGATAAGTCCAGTCCCTGGATCAAGAGTCCCTTTCTGGCATCAAGGCACCTCCCAGGAGTCAGATATACTGAGTTGATATTAAAATTACTGACACTACTAAAACTCCATACTATATAAACATCACATGTATGTGTATTATCATTACTAGTTTCTTTGATTTTTCTTTATTTTCCTTTAAAGTTTTACTACTAAACTGTAATTGTATTTTGTTGATAGGTAAATAAAATTGTACAATGTGTGTATGGTATATGAAAATATATTTTTTTCCCAAGTAGGTATGATGCAAAGTGTGGCTTTCATAGCTCCATCAGTAACTCCCTGGTATCCGTCTACTGTACCGGGTGGCACATCAATCAATCCCTCTCTTCGGCTCTACTCATATAATAAAACTGTGCTCTTGGATTACAGCCAATATCATCTTAACTTGACTAAAGCAAATGGCCCTTCTGAAAATGTCTCCAGTAACCAAGAAGCTTTTGGACTAGATGACATCCATATCAGAGGTAATAGATTGGAAAGGCCTGAGTGGGAGTTTTATTATCAAGCAACAAAAGCATATGGTTTACAGAGTCTTGATATTGTCAGTATGGTAAATCTCTATGACCAGCTTCAGTCAGATGATAACCTGTTCCAAAAATACTACTTAAGGAATTCTGCTGGATTTAATGATGGCCTGTGTGATGAGCACTGTAAAAAGTCTCATACATGTGCTATAGTAAATATTAAAGTAAAAGATTTGAACAGATGCATGGGATATAACCATTCTGAGAACTATAAAGGACTACCTAAATCTTCATTAAAGCCCCACAAAGAAGTTCCAATTTTTATAATGGAAGATGGGTTACCTGTTAACTTTCCCAATACATCCTCCAGTTCTCCTTTGGTCATTGCTATCATAGTTTTAAGTATGAGCTTAACTACAGTCTTGGCTGTTATATTGGCTGTCATGCTAGTTGCCATAACACTTAAGAGGAATCGGATGCTTAGAACTGAGAGAAGCCTACCAGTTGTGGACCTTACGTGGGTTCGGCGACAACAAAACTACAAACAGATTCCTTAAGGAAATAGAAGTTACACATTCTGTCAGTCACTGGCAGGTGACTTACAAAATGTGTTCCTTTAATACTTTTAATAATATCTCACTTATACTGTCTCATGGAAACCAGCTGTTTCCATTTTCAGTCCTGTGTTAGACTTCATATTTTGAAAATTCCTTTTTTTTTTTTTTTTTTTATCTTGGTGGAAGGTGGGCACTAAGACAGGGTGACTGAAAGAAGCAAACACATTCATCATCATTCATTCAGTCACTTTTTATTTTTATTATAATTTTTTTAACACACTACCCATCTCATACCAAGGGGTGACCCCAAAAATAGAAACACTTTCACCATCATTCACTCCGTTGTTGTCTTTCGAGAGGCATGCTGATACTACAGTTCAGATGCTCTTCCAAACTGCAGATATCCCCACCTCTCCTTCATTGTGCAAGCACTGTCGTACCCACCTCTAGGACTTTAAGTCCAGCTAGCTGGTTTCCCTGAATTTTATTATTTTTATTATCACACTGGCCGATTCCCACCAAGGCAGGGTGGCCCGAAAAAGAAAAACTTTCACCATCATTCACTCCATCACTGTCTTGCCAGAAGGGTGCTTTACACTACAGTTTTTAAACTGCAACATTAATACCCCTCCTTCAGAGTGCAGGCACTGTACTTCCCATCTCCAGGACTCAAGTCCGGCCTGCCGGTTTCCCTGAATCCCTTCACAAAATGCTACCTTGCTCACACTCCAACAGCACGTCAAGTATTAAAAACCATTTGCCTCCACTCCTGTTTAACATGTTCACATACCTGCTGGATGTCCAAGCCCCCTCGCACACAAAACCTCCTTTACCCTCTCTCTTCAACCTTTCCTAGGGTGACCCCTACCCCACCTTCTCTCCACTACAAATTTATTCACCCTGCAGGTCATTATATTTTGCTCCAACCTCTCTAAATGTCCAAGCCACCTCAGCAACCTTCTTCAGCCCTCTGGATAATACTATTAGTAACTCCATGTCTCCTGATCTCCAAGCTGCAAATTCTCTGCATAATATTTACACCACACATTGCCCTCAGATGTGACATCTCTGCTGCCTCCACCTCCTCCTTGCTGCAACATTCACAACCCATGCTTCACACCCATATCAGAGTGTTTGTGCCATTTTACCCTTCAATATTTCCCATTTTGCCTCCATAGATAATGTTCTTTGTCTCCACAGATGCCTCAGTGCATCACCCATCTTTTTACCCCCTCAACTCTATGGTTCACTTCATCTTTCATATACCCATTTGCCAGCAACTCCACTCCAAAATATCTGAACACATTCACTTCCTCTATGCCCCTTTCTTCCAGTCTGATGTTCAATCTATCATTGCCTAGACCTCTTGTTACCTTCATTGCATTCACTCACAATTTTACCTTTAATTTGAAACTTCTTTTAGATTTGGGAAAGTTCACTGGCAGTTTACGAAGTGACCTTATACTGTACAGGGAAAATTTCCAGAGACATGCAGAAGACATGATTTCATTGACTCATAGATTTATATCAAAAAATATAGTAGTCAGACAAATTTACGTAAAATAATAGTGCAGTCAGACAAATTTATATCTTTCTCTACCTCGTTCACACAGAATACTTCCCACCATCTTCCTCCAACTTTCTCTGGGCAGTCAGACAAATTTATATAAATACTGCAGCCAATGTAATCAGGAGTTTATATAAAAAATTCACACTAAAACAGAGCTAAAGAAGTATAAAGTTAATCCTAGGATAGAACACCATTCTGTCATGTTACTTATGCAAGGCAAATATTTATAACATATGGTTATCCTGTCTTTTACTTTTGATCCTTAAGATTCCAAGGCATTTATATTCCAGAATTTAAAATAACATGCGCTTAGTACTGTAGCATCTTGAAAAAAGCATTAGCCTTAGTGGCAAGAAATAATCCCAAAGTTAATTGAGGTACCTGTACTACAGCATATAATCAGTTAAATAACAAAAAAAAGTCTCAGTGCTGTGACTGGAACGATACACAAATAGCCCGCACATAGAAGTGAGGAGCTTATGACGACGTTTCAGTCCGACTTCGACCATTAGTGTGACTTTGTAAATGGTCCAAGTCGGACCAAAACGTCGTCGTAAGCTCCTCTCTTCTATGTGTGGGTTGCTGTATAGTCCTTGTGGCTTAGCGCTTCTTTTTGATTATAATAATAATATGTGTGGGTTATTTGTGTATAATCAGTTATCTAGCGATTGACATTCTGTAAATTTATTTGAAGAAAATTAGTTTAGACATTTTTAAGTACATATGTACTGAAATTTTTCTCAGAAATACTTATGAATGAAGAACAAATTTGTTCACAAAATGTACAACAAAGTTGTATGTGTGTGTGTGTGTCTCAGAATTAAAACTCAAAGCTTGAAACATTGTTCACAAAATTATGTTTGGAAAATATCACTGAAGGTAGTATAACCCACCCATGTGATATGCAAAGGCACTGATGGTAATTCCTAGAATTATTGGAGTATTTTCCAGATAGAGATAATTATATCATGATGGATTCCTCTAAGTGTGGTAACTAGAAGTGTGTTGATACTCATGACCTTAAGTCACTGTTGTATGAAGTTTCATAGTTTAATTTTTTTTTTTTTGCTACTTTCACAGTTATGTTATGCACTACATTGAAGTGTGGTAAATAAAAAGTACACATGTGTATATACAGTTAAGGAGCTTGCAGTAAGCACAATATTTGAGGTATGTAATGGTATGAGATACCAACACAATGGTAAGGAGAAATGTGATTTTATAAGGTCCCTTTATATAAGCCTTTTATTTTTTTTAACCACAGTGGGCTTCAAGTCAAACCGATAAACCTGGCAAGGGAGGGCGAGTAAATATATACTATCAGGTAGTGGTGAGGTGAGAGGCAAGTTGGGTGCGAGTCAGGTCACATGAGTCCCAAACATTCTAGCAGTTTTCTGGCAAGTGGTTTATATAAATTTTAAAAACTGTTATTCTGATTTAATGTGTTGGAGATACTAATGAGTGCAGATTCAAGGACTTATTCTCTTGGTGTTGTCCTCCTTGGCAGTTAGTAGTGTACCATATTGAGTAACGAGAATAATGATGTATTACATAGACATTTAAGTTGTCTGGTCTGCTGGCTTCTTGGTGTTCTGAAATTCACTTGTGGAGGTGTCCAGATATCTCACCTGTATAGATTATCACACTTTTTACCACTGCAGGAGTATATAAATCCCATCTAACAACCATGGTAAAATACATATACATGAGACATCTAAAATTAGTTTCAGAACAGCAATATGCCAGCAGAACAGGCAACCTAAACAACTAATTATTAAGCTACTAATTGCAAAGGATGATGATACCCTAAGAAGAACCCTTGGAGCTGCACCACAACAGTTTCTACAATTTAGCTGATCCTATTTCCAGAAAACTGATAGCAAATTTGGGAATCATGATGATCTGACTCACACTCCACTTGCTCTTCACTTCATTCACTACTCCCTTTTATATACAGTATTTGCTCATCTTCCCTTATAAGATTAACCTGTTTGTGACTTGATAAAGTCCACCATGTTGACAAAATTTTGTCAATATAAGTTCCATATAACTGTACATATAACTCTTGCCAAAACACTAGAGGCAAACTTACATGTATATTAAGACCTCATTCATTATCTAAAATTCTATGTACAGTGAAAGCATAATATGGATATTTTTACTGTAAAATCATAAATTAATTAGCTTCAATTCACTTGTACATTTGGTGTAGTTTTAAGACAATTTATTTAAATGTAATGTTCTATGTATTACATTATAGGCTTCATTTCTCTAACAAGTTTAGTACTGTAGTAGAATTTTTACTGTATGGAGGGCTCAGCAGGGTTCTCGGTTTTGTGTGCTGCTGGGACATAATGCTTCTTGAGTACTTTTACATGATTATTATTAATAATGGCTGTCAGGTACATACTGTACTGTAACAATGAAATATGCATTCTTCGTTGTTTGCACTTAAATTACTTTGTGCTACGTAATTTTAAAATTTTGAATATTCATTATATTCACAAATTATTTTTATTTATTTTACAGTACTGTTAAAAAACAAATGCTAAACCCATGTGGGTCATCCATCTATATTCACAAAGAAGCACTAAATCCAAGTGTCACAGTGTACCTGTACTTATCAAATTTTGTATTAATGTTGGTAGAATTACCAACGATACATTAGGTAAAAGGACACATGCAATTAATGTGATATACTGTGGCAATGTTTCACTCTCCATGTCGCATTAGTTGCATATGTGTCATTTTACCTAACTTATTGCATTTTCTGTGTACTCTAATGGCTTCATCAGTGATAGTTCTGTCAAATTAGTCTTCAACACCAGTGAATTGTTCTGTGCAGAGGATTTATACATTATGTTACTGGTTCTAGTTTCTCAAAGAGGTGTATAGTCATTTTTAGCATTTTATTTTGTAAGTGTTTTACACAAACATGTAATATTATTATTAATTTCTTTTAACATGTTGGCTATCTCCTACCCATATTACTCTTTGAATGTGAACATTCATCAACCAAACTTTTATAGTATTTATTCTTATTGCTATTATTTATTAACAAATGTTCATGTTTGAAATATATTACTTCATCAAGGGTTGTGAATTTTATCTGTGAAGGTAATGTGATAGGCCAGAATAATAAAATACCTTCTGCCATCTCATTTATAGCTTATATTTTTTCATTTAAGTAACAGAATACAGTATATTATATATTCCCTGATGAGATCAGGGTAGTGAATGCACTAAAGTTGCTGTATCCTATCACCATAGCTATATATGTATTCAATGGTTGAAAAATATATACAGAATGTGACACGGTGGTATAATTATCACATACAGAATGTAAAGCATCCGATTTGGTTTGTTATTTTGTTTTAAAACAAATTCTAAACCCACAAGGATCAGATAGATATGTGAGTGTTAAAACAAAGTGGAATGAATGAGTAGTTTTTGAGGGTTAACATGAAGTTTTAGTTATGTTTATAAGTTACCAATTCAGAATGGAGGCAAGGTAATATCTATGCAGGGAGACCAATTAGTCAGAGTTGAATAACTGATAAGCACAGTGCCTACATTGTGAAGGGTGAATGGGGATGTTAAGTACAATTATTTATTGAAACTGTGATGTCCCTATACTTCAGAAAAGACAGCTAGGTAATGAATAAAGGTAAACCTGTTTTAGACAATACAGTCAAGTCTTTGTTGGTACAGTATATAATTTCATTCAAGAGTGGGCTTTATCAAGTGCATGATCAAGCCCACTTGTGGATGTAATGTTCCAATAAAAACTTAACTGCAGTCTATTTACCTTTTGTTTGCCTTACAAGTTTATTTTGTATAAATATACTTTCCTTCTTTGAGTCATCCTGGAGCCTATTTTAAACCAGCAGTTACAATATTTTATATAAAGCTAAAACTGAAAAAGGAATTTCATATTAACTCTTCTGAATGTAATTTAGTCAACATGGCAATTTTCTTATTTAACCTGCTTGTATTTTACATAACTGCAGTTTTTTCAATGTTACTAAAACAGTCTATAATGTTTCACAAAACTTTTCCTGATTGCATAAACTAATGAAAATTGAGACAAGTTTTTTTACACATCAGCTGTCTCCCACCAAGGTAGGGTGACCCAAAAAACACACTTTTACCATCATCCACACATAATCACTGTGTTTGCAGAGGCACCCAGATACGACAGTTTAGATGTCATTCCAAACTGCCAATATCCCAAACCCTTCCATTAAAGTGCAGGCATTGTACTTCCCACTTCATTTATTAGAGTACATTGAATATAAAGAATTAAATTGCAGATTATCTATGTAGGTAAGTGGATCCAAATAATGTACCACCAACAATAATGAAGGAAAGACACATTTCATTACTTGATTATTATATTTAAGGAAAAGTGCTAAACCTGTAGGAGTCATATAGGATCTAGGGAAAGGCAGGCACTTGGCTTTAACCCAAGAAAGGGATCAAAAGCCCCTTACCAGCATCAAGGAACCTCTTTAGAGGGCATATTTGAAGAGCATGCTATCACTTTCTAGTATGTCAAGGTACAGCATATTTTCTTAGTTAGAAAAATGTAACTTAGCATCCAAGGTAAACTATGAACACATGGTGGAACACAAAAATGTTAAGTCATTATTATTATAATCAAAGAAAGCGCTAAACCGATTAAGTCTTCAGAAACAACAAATGCCAGAAAAGAAATCCAGAGCAGAAAATCAACAGAATTGTTCACACAGTCCCTGAAGAAAATAGATCACCTTCTTCATCAAAGATATGCTCACATGCACGAATGTGATATGTACCTTTAGGTCTCCTGGAACCTCCCATACTTAAAGTATATGCCAAACCACTAACACAATGCATTACTGGCACATTCTTGGCAATAAATTTGTGCAGGAATAGGGTAAATATAATACCCAGATTATTATTGCAGTCACAACTAAATGCAGCTATAATATCCAGAACCACGTAGAATTTCAACATAGCAGTCCAGTGTACCTTTGCAGTACATTTATTATTATTACACAGCATGGGTTTTAAACCTAACAGTGAAGAGAAAGGAGGAGGCAGTGGAAACGAGCTTGAGGGCGATGTGTGGTGTGAATATTATGCAGAAAATTTGGAGTATGGAGGTAAGGACAAGGTGTGAGGGTTACCAAAAGCATAATTTTGAGGGGAGAGGGGACACTGATCCCATAATGGTCCCAAAGTGCCTAGAGGAAATGGGATGCAATCAGGTTCAATCCAAGGAAGGAAAGCTCAAATCCAATTCCTTAGGTCAAGAGCCCCTCACCAGCATCAAGGAACTTCCCAAAGGGAAGTTCCACAGTTCATCACACTCCATCGATTTTACTTTCTTATGCCTCTCCTACCAGTATTGTATATACTACATGTATGCAATTTGTATCCTATGACTTGATAAAGAACTTAACAGATTAAAACACTTTCCCAATAAAAGCTCTTTCAGTAAACATGTCTTTTCTTCACAACATACATAAGTACAGCCTCTCCTCACTTAGCGATGTACTCGTTTACTGACACCTTGGACTTACAACAGGCTCTCTGACCAGTATTCAAACCTAAATAATGTATATTAGTGCTGATTTCCTCTATTCTATTTATTTCAATATACAGTATACTACTGTATAAACATTTAAAAATATACCAGAAATGTTATAAATGGTGCGAAGGTGACATAAAAACAATATCAAAGATGGTTGACACAGGCTCACTACCATTATACACCTACCATCCAACTTACAACCTGCTCAACATACGACCACTCGACTTACGACCATGCTTTGTATGCAAGCGTTCTGGGAAATAAACAACTTTGTTTTACACACTGTTTTTCCTAAACCTTACAGTATAAAATACAGTACTAACAGCATAAAAAGTAAAATAAAAAATGAAATACCAAAATAAAACAATAAAATAAAATCATTACTTAATGTGATGCCGATATTCAGTAGCAAGGTTCGATCCATTTTGACTTACAACCAGTTAGTCGGAACCAAGCTCGGTCATAAGTCAGATGGTAGGTGTAGTAGGCTCCTCACTTAGCGATGAATTCGTTTAACGACTTGGTCTTAGGAACGGAACTCCATCATTAAGTGAGGAGAGGCTGTATAGATTTACGTAGAGGTAGAGGAAAGCAGGTAAATTTTCCAAAGACTCGTCAGTGTCAAGGGGCTCCTGGTGAGGAAAACTGGGCATAGTTGTTGAGAACGAGATCAGTAAGTGAAGGTGGCTTGTTGTGAGCAGTACGGGTGTGCATAGCACTGGACAACCCAGGATCTATCAATGCCAACACTCCTCCAACCAAGTGTAGTGACCCTGTCACTAATATCTGTAATAAAAAGGACAAACCATAAATGCATATTTCTAATATAATAGTACATAAATGCAACACTAGTTTTTATAATTACTTTCCTGTTATGTATGTCGTGATGCATGTGTGTTAAAACCCTAAGAATGACTTTTGTAAAGATGGAAAGAAATTAGTTTCCTAAGGAAAGCACTTCATCACTCATCATTTATTTATTTTTTTATTATCACACTAGCCGATTCCCACCAAGGCAGGGTGGCCCGAAAAAGTAAAACTTTCACCATCATTCACTCCATCACTGTCTTGCCAGAAGGGTGCTTTACACTACAGTTTTTAAACTGAAACATTAACACCCCTCCTTCAGAGTGCAGGCACTGTACTTCCCATCTCCAGGACTCAAGTCCGGCCTGCCGGTTTCCCTGAACCCCTTCATAAATGTTACTTTGCTCACACTCCAACAGCACGTCAAGTATTAAAAACCATTCGTCTCCATTCACTATCAAACACGCTCACGCACGCCTGCTGGAAAGTCCAAGCCCCTCGCACACAAAACCTCCTTTACCCCCTCCCTCCAACCTTTCCTAGGCCGACCCCTAACCCGCCTTCCTTCCACTACAGACTGATACACTCTTGAAGTCATTCTGTTTCGCTCCATTCTCTCTACATGTCCGAACCACCTCAAAACCCTTCCTCGCCCTCTGGACAACAGTTTTGGTAATCCCACACCTCCTCCTAACTTCCAAACTACGAATTCTCTGCATTATATTCACACCACACATTGCCCTCAAACATGACATCTCCACTGCCTCCAGCCTTCTCCTCGCTGCAACATTCGTCACCCATGCTTCACACCCATATAAGAATGTTGGTAAAACTATACTCTCATACATTCCCCTCTTTGCCTCCAAGGACAAAGTTCTTTGTCTCCACAGACTCCTAAGTGCACCGCTCACACTTTTCCCCTCATCAATTCTATGATTCACCTCATCCTTCATAGACCCATCCGCTGACACGTCCACTCCCAAATATCTGAATACATTCACCTCCTCCATACTCTCTCCCTCCAATCTGATATCCAATCTTTCATCACCTAATATTTTTGTTATCCTCATAACCTTACTCTTTCCTGTATTCACTTTTAATTTTCTTCTCTTGCACACCCTACCAAATTCATCCACCAATCTCTGCAACTTCTCTTCAGAATCTCCCAAGAGCACAGTGTCATCAGCAAAGAGCAACTGTGACAACTCCCACTTTATGTGTGATTCTTTATCTTTTAACTCCACGCCTCTTGTCAAGACCCTCGCATTTACTTATCTTACAACCCCATCTATAAATATATTAAACAACCACGGTGACATCACACATCCTTGTCTAAGGCCTACTTTTACTGGGAAATAATTTCCCTCTTTCCTATGTACTCTCATCATGTAACCCACAATAACATATCTATTTAACCATATTGGTGCCATATATATCTAAAACAGTACCCATCAGTGCTTATCTTACACTTGGTAATACACAGTAAACCCTCTCATACCTCGGGAAGGAGTGGATACAGTTCTAAAAATCATCATCTTTTTATATTTATTATTATTATCACACTGGCCGATTCCCACCAAGGCAGGGTGGCCCGAAAAAGAAAAACTTTCACCATCATTCACTCCATCACTGTCTTGCCAGAAGGGTGCTTTACTCTACAGTTTTTAAACTGCAACATTAACACCCCTCTTATGTATGTATAATAAGTGTCACGTACAGTGAAGAAAATATTGGAAAAATAGTATTACGCTCAATGTCCAAAAATGCCTAACCCCTTATTTTTAGATACGTATCCTAATATCAAGCCCTGCTGGGCTTTTCAAAGCAAAGGTGTGGGAAGTGACTGCCGTTGCTTTTTTCATTGGTTATTTAAGCAGTATTAGCCCTGCTCCTGGTGGTGTGGTAGGTCATATCCAGGAAATAAGAGGTACACACTAGGGGTGATTACCATGGGCAATATACACACCAGGCATCTCCCACAGAGGCAGGGTGACCCATAAAGAAGAAACTTGCATAATTTACTAACCTGTACCTGGGTAGCTTCTTGTAACTGAGGCGGTGGTGGAAAGGCTGGGGGTGTCAGAAGCTCCCCTCTCAGATTTGGAACACGCTCACATGACAGCCATGCAAGAGCATCATGGATACATGGAAATATTATACTTGGTACATCTGTTGCTGGTAAACTAGTTGAGAGATTCAAATTGTCTCCACTTTCTCTGATGATGTTATTTTGCTTCTTCTGTGGACTTTCTTCAGTGATATTTTCAGATTGTACTGATTTCTCTGGACAAATGTGTATTTGCTTGCTGTTCTGAAGCTCCCTCACAATTCTGATCCAAGTGTTCCTCTGCCTTTCACATCGTAAATGCATTTCATCTGGTGATACTGAATAATTTGTTTGATCTGTAAATGTGTCATAAAAAATCATTAACTGTATTTAGTATTTTTATATCAGGAAATATAAGTGACTAATCATTCATTTACACTATATCTAAGAAGAATCACTGGTATACATACAGTACTTTATTTTTGCAAGTCACCAGTGATTGGAAATCTTCAGCTCAAGATCTTTCACACATCTCCATGCATCATCAGGAGCTATGCAATGTTGCAAGAGCAGCAACAGGCAGAGGGGAAGTTTTCTCAGAGGAAAGGTGGTGTGTTGACAGCCTATTCCTCCTCTTGCAACACTGCATAGTTCCTGATGATGCATGGAGTCATATGAAAGATCTTGAGTTGAAGATTTCCATCCCTCCTGTGGCTTATCTTGCATTGTTAAGATCACCTATCTGTGACTGTATTGTGTGCATACATACACTTTTCTTTTTTCAACACGCTGGCCAGGTCCCGATGAGGCATGGTGCCATACACCCCCCCAAAAAGGAAACGCATTTATCATCATTCCCACTATCACCGTCTTTGCAGAAGCATGCAGATATGACAGTTTAGATGTCACTCTATACTGCAAATATCCCAAACCCCTCCTTTGAAGTGTAGGCATCGTACTTTCCATCCCCAAAACTCAAATCTGGCTAACCAGTTTCCTCGAATCCCTTCACGAAATGTTACACTGCTCACACTCCAACATATGTATATATAAACACATACATACATACACTATATTACGAATGAAGAAGTCACTCATGGCAAAAAAGTTTTGTTTAATCCTTTCAGGGTCCGTCCCATAGATCTACGGCTTTGAAGCCGGGATCCAAGCCATGCGCTCAGCTCACTCAGATAACCTGTGAGTGGTAAACCTGGGCCTAGATATGAGAGAATACATCTACAGTGGAACCTCAGTATACGAGCAGCTCCCTACTCAAACAAAGCTTAGCACTCAACCAAACAAATACGACCTGCCAGAACTTCGCTATAAACTATTTTGTGTTTCTTCGCATTTTTGGTGTTTTGTTGTATTATTTGTGTAAATAAGTCACCATGGGGCCTACGAAGATGTGATAACAGCCAACCACACAGAAAATTGGTTGGGAAGAACTTGTTCAATATTCAAATGGAACAGCACTCAAACAGCCTTCTGGAATGAATTAAAACACATGCCAAGGTACCTAGGGATTGGCAGAGAGCATGTATAGTTCCTTCATACAAAGGGAAGGGGGACAAAAGAGATTGTAAAAATTATAAAAGAATTAGTTTACTGAGTATACCAGGAAAAGTGTAGCATTGGGTTATTATTGAAAGAATTAGAGGTAAGACAGAATGTAGGATTGCAGATCAGCAAGAAGGTTTTAGAGTGGGTAGAGGATGTGTAGATCAAGTGTTTACATTGAAGCATATATGTGAACAGGATTTAGATAAAGGTAGGGAAGTTTTCATTGTATTTGTGGATTTAGAAAAGGCATATGATAGAGTGGATAGGGGAGCAATGTGGCAGATGTTGCAAGTATATGAATAAGTAGTAAGTTACTAAATGTTGTAAAGAGTTTTTATGAGGATAGTGAGGCTCAAGTTAGGGTGTGTAGAAGAGAGGGAGACTACTTCCTGGTAAAAGTAGGTCTTAGACAGGGATGTGTAATGTCACCATAGTTGTTTAATATATTTATAGAGGGGGGTTGCAAAAGAAGTAAATGCTAGGGTGCTCAAGAGAGGGGTGGGATTAAATTATGAGGAATCAAATACAAAATGGGAATTGACACAGTTACTTTTTGCTGATGATACTGTGCTTATGGAAGATTCTAAAGAAAAATTGCAAAGGTTAATGGACGAGTCTGGGAGTGTGTGTAAAGGTAGAAAGTTGAAAGTGAACATATAAAAGAGTAAGGTGATGAGGGTATCAAATGATTTAGATAAAGAAAAATTGGATATCACACTGGAGAGGAGGAGTATGGAAGAAGTGAATGTTTTCAGATATTTGGGAGTTGACGTGTCAGCGGATGGATGTATGAAGGATGAGGTTAACCATAGAATTGATAAAGGAAAAAAGGTGAGTGGTGCATTGAGGTATATGTGGAGACAAAAGACATTATCTATGGAGGCAAAGAAGGGAATGCATGAAAGTATAGTGGTACCAATACTCTTATATGGGTGTGAAGCTAGGGTTGAAAATGCTGCAGCGAGGAGGCAGTTGGAGGCGGTGGAGATGTCCTGTCTAAGGGCAATGTGTGGTGTAAATATTATGCAGAGTGGAAATTAGGAGGTGTGGAGTTAATAAAAGTATTAGTCAAAGGGCTGAAGAGGAGTTGTTGAGGTGGTTTGGTCATTTAGAGAGAATGTATCAAAGTAGAATGACATGGAGCGCGTATAAATCTGTAGGGAAAGGAAGGCGGGGTAGGAGTCATCCTCAAAAAGGTTGGAGGGACGGGGTAAAGGAGGTCTTGTGGGCGAGGGGCTTGGACTTCCAGCATGCATGCGTGAGCATGTTAGATAGGAGTGAATGGAGACGAATGGTATTTGGGACCTGACGAGCTGTTGGAGTGTGAGCACGGTAATATTTAGTTAAGGGATTCAGGGAAACCGGTTATTTTTATATAGCTGGATTTGAGTCCTATAAATGGGAAGTACAATGCCTGCACTTTAAAGGAGGGGTTTGGGATATTGGCAGTTTGGAGGGATATGTTGTGTATCTTTATATGTAATGCTTCTAAACTGTTTTGTTGCGGGGCACTTCCAGCATGACATGTGATATGCATGATGGGTGAAAGTGGAAGATGTAATGGTATTTTGGGCCTGGATTGTTTTTGTGGTCACCCGGTAATATTGTGGGAAGGAACCGTTATTTAATAAAAGAATAAAAAAAAAAAAAAAAGAGTTCCCTGTATGTGGTGTTACCAGATAAATTTGCAGCATGGAGGGTATGACTGAAAATTGCAACATTATATGAATTAAAACACGATTGTTGCTGTGCCCTTTTGAATTTCATACAGATGGGTGAAAGTTTTTGAGAGGGTCTAAGATTCTTTATAGGCGCAACTTCCTTGGATACCCCTCGGTGGAGCAACCTGACCACCTGTTTAAAAAAAAAAAAGCTCCTGTCCTGTGTACGGGTACCACATACAAGTCCTGCAGCGTAGAGATAGAAGGAAAACAAAATACATTTGAACTCAAAAGCTAAATGCGTGTTTTTTTGATTCACCTTAATGCGACATTATTAATGTATTATTTAAGGGTTTAGACAGTATAGCTACGCCTGATACCACTTAACTACCGACAATATGTTTAGGAAAGATCCCTGCGTCCAGTACTGGCACCGAACATACACTGGACCTGAAAAGTTTTTAAGGTAGGGGTCCACGTACAGATGATAGTATACACAGACTTTCCAAAAGCTTTTGGCAAGTGTGACCATGGCATAATAGCACACAAAATGCGGGATAAAGGAATAACAGGAAAAGTTGATAGATGGATCTACAACTTCCTGACAAATAGAACACAAAGAGTAATAGTAAACAGAGTAAAGTCCCAGGCAGCCATGGTAAAAAGCTCTGTTCCACAAGGCACAGTACTCCCTCCCATTCTATTCCTCATCCCCATTTCTGACATAGACAGAGATGTAAGCCAAAGCTCCATGTCTTCCTCTGTGGATGACACCCGGATCACCATGGCAGTGACCTCCATCGAAGACACAGCAAGACTCCAAGCGGACATCAACCAAATCTTCAAATGGGCCACTCAAAACAATATGAAGTTCAATGAGGAGAAATTTCAACCACTCAGATGTGGAAAACTTGAAGAAATTAAAAATGTGTCAGGGTATACCACAAATTCTAACCATACAATAGAGTGGAAAAGTAATGTGAAGGACCTGGGAGTGATAATGTCAGAGGATCTCGCCTTCAAAGACCACAACAATGTATCTACCTCATCCGCTAGGAAAATGATAGGATGGATAATGAGAACCTTCAAAACTTGGGACTCCAAGCCCATGATGATTCTCTTCAAATTGCTTGTGCTCTCTAGGCTGGAATACTGCTGTACACTAACAGCCCCCTTCAAGGCTGGCAACATTGCAGATCTGGAGAGTGTACAAAGAACTTTCATGGCACATATAAGTGCAATAAGGCACCTAAACTACTGGGAACGATCGAAGGTCCTTGATCTGTATTCCCTCAAACACAGGCGAGAGAGAAACATGATAACATACACTTAGAAGGTCCTGGAAGGATTGGTACCAAACCTGCACACGAAAATCACTCCACATGAAAGCAAAAGACTCAGCAGGAGATGCAACATTTCCCTGATGAAAAGCAGGAGTGCCACAAGTACACTGAGAGACAACATAATAAGTGTCCGGGGCCCAAGACTGTTCAATTGCCTCCCAGCATACATAAGGGGGATTACCAATAGACCCCTGTCTGTCTTCAAGAGGGCACTGGACAGGCACCTAAAGTCAGTACCTGACCAACCGGGGTGTGGTTCGTACGTCAGCTTGCATGCGGCCAGCAGTAACAGCCTGGTTGATCAGACCCTGATCCACCATGCCACCTGGTCTCAGACCAGGCCATGGGGGTGTTGACCCCCAAAACCCTCTCCAGGTAATCTCCAGATAAAGCCATTTGATAGAATGGAAGATATATTAGAGAAATAAAGATGATTTTGAATGGATTTAGTAATGAAAATGACAAACTGAGCTCAAAGTATCAGAAATGGTCAATTTTTGCTAATGTTCAAGAGTAAACAAATGATGTCACACGTCTAATACATGTCAGCTGGTGGGTCTAATATATGTTCACAAATGTTTGCTGATATTATTTATACAATTATTACAACATTGCATAACAGTAAATCTTCTATTTTTTGGTGTGAATGAAAATTCATTATGTGAATAAAACATCAAAATGCAATTCATTTGTAAAGCCTGAACACGTAGCTAATGAACAGAGGAAATGTTAGTTTACCGCCAGGAATGCTTGCACTGTTTATTCTGGACCCTATTTTGAAATTGGAAT